TCTCTCTCTCTCTCTCTCTCTCTCTCTCTCTCTCTCTCTCTCTCTCTTCGTTGCCATTAATTATCAAGTGTGGTTTTCCTTCTGCTTTTTTTCTCATTTTAAATTGAAAAAAATAAATAAATGAAAAATAAAACAAAGTTTAATATATTATTCATTCCTGAATGCAGAAAAATTAATTTGATTGTGTCAATTTAAGTTTGTACATTTGAGCCGAGACGAGTTTGTGGAGAGAAAAAAATGGAAATTGCTTTCGTTCCAGTGACAAACGTACACAAGTGGCTATATTTAGATAAAAGTTGTTGCAAAATTCACATTCCAATCGATTTTGTGAAAATTGTGCTTATGCATCTATCTCTACCTATCTTATACTATCGTGAAAATGAAATCTTGTCTCAATGCATATTGTATTGCATTTTTTTTCACCATTCCTCTCCCTCCCTCCATCTCGAAATGTACATACATCATGTGCCGGAAATTTTTTCTATCCCGTATAAGAAATCAATTTTCAGGTCAATGCGGTTTTTTTTAGGGGCGAGACACAAATTCTATTAGAGTCTAGTTACACTCAATTTTATATATTTTTTGCTTTATGTCCTCTAATTTTTCTAGTTTTGGTGCAAAAGTGCTAATATTGTGCTATTATTTCTAGTAAAATCGCTTGCAGAGCGTATTACACTGTCAATACAACGCTTATGGAAGACCTAACGAGACTATTTTGTAAACAATAAACAATATCTCCATAAGCGTTAACATTGGCAAACCAAACTCACTAATTTCTTCTATTTTTCCTATTATCGTTGAATAATGTTCTAATTTTACTAATTTAAGTTTCGTGTCTCTCCCTTAGGGTTTTTTCGGACAAAAATCCCAATTGCTCTCATCCACAAGCAAATTTTACTGAATCTTTCTCACATTCCCACGCTAATCTCTCAACCACAAACGCATAACATTCCGTTTAATTAGACCAAATAGCACCCTTTCATTTAACAATCATGCAATTTTTATTAAATATTTATCTCTCTAAACTTGTACAAAATGTATATATGAACATGAATATTAAATAAATTTTTTTTTGTTTTCACAATTGGATTAAACTATTTCAAAAAATTGCATCAACATTTTCAAAGTAGAACAGTTATAAATGATGATATGATACAGAATCGTAGCTTTTAACACGCGAAAATATTAATGCTGGATAAATGTTTGGCGTTAGATCGAAATCCGTGCACAGCTCTTCGTATTTATTTTGCCTTTGTATAATCTGTAAATGTGTGTATGTGGGATGAAATATGAGTTTAAATTAGTTGTTTTTTGTTTGGTTTTTTCTTTTGGCTTGGTTCAAGCACTTGAAACGATTTCTCACCGAATATTTTTTCCACTCCAATTGTGGTAATCGACGCTTTTTTGTGTATGACATTAAAAGCTGGAGACAAAATGTCGGTGGCTCTTTTTCATAGTCCATAAAACCTCGATATCGGTCTTCGTGTCCATGATCTTTTGTCTTATTCTTGCGCACAATTATCGTAACCATGTCATTGGAAAATCTAAAATAGTGGTATACAACAATTGAGAATTATTTGAATGAGGTAAGTGGTGTCTGTCCTTTAGCTTGTGAATATTACTTGTAATTTCCCTTCAATACATCATGACGATTGTGGCCTAGCTGTAGTTTGCCGACCATATGTGATGGTTCATCTGTTGATGTCACCACCAAAACAGTTCCATCCGGAAAGAATCGAATGTATCGATAATACTCCACTAAATGCACTGGACGATAGAACTGGTCCTGCAGAAGGGAAAATAACTTGAAATCAAGTATGCTTTTGAATACAATGAGCCACTCAAACCTGAAAACTTCTTTCGCCATAGCGCAAATAGCTGGTCTTACTGATATAGCAACCGTTGAACCAGGCACGGGGCCTTTCAATATACATTTGCCGCCATGATGAATATTTGGAACCTTTCAATATACCAACACCATGACCCCAAACTCTGAAACATTTCATAGAAACACGTCATTGGTTATCATTTGCATTTTGAATTGGACGAATCAAATTCGCATTTTTGTTTTCTGCATGACAAAAGTATATGTGTTGTGTATTATTTACTTGAAACATGCCAAACGCCAAATTTCCATATCACGAGCAATCAAATAAAAACCCTTGCACACCATGGAGCATTGTTCCAATGACCGCATGTCGAGATTACTCGAAACCACCCAACGCAAAATGTACAGAATGATTTCCGTGGGCAAACTGGAGATGTGCAAGCCATCTGTAACAATAACACCCTCCGCTGTGTCACGATTGAATAAGTTGCCATTTCCATTGACAATGGATGTTTCAAATCGATGCACCAAATCCACACAGCTCAAGTCTTCAATGTACTCATTGTCATCGTTGGCCGCTGATTCTTTTCTTGTATCCGGTTTAACAGTTGCGGTGTATATATTGGCTTTTAATTTATCATACATTTTGAACTCAATATCCGGATCAATGTGAACAGCTCGACGATACATTCGCATCGCTTCAAACACTTTGCCCTTTCTCTCCAAGGCATCACCTTGCATGAACAGCAATTCGGCCTAAAAATATCAAATAAAATTTGTATATTTTTATCTCAATAATCTGTTGGCATTAATGACTCGATTTTTTTTTAATACTTGGTCATTGGAATTGTTTGGTTCCTCGCAACTGGTCGTCTTCTGTTGAATGACTTTGTTTTGCTTAATGCGTTTGGTTGTGTTAAGTTCCTGTTGCCATTTCTCTCGAAACTGATCCAATGTTTCGGGTGGTGCTGATAAAGAACCATCGGAATCATCGTCCATGTCCATATTCAAAACGACATTTACCTTTCTAATTGTAAATAAAATATGCATAAAAATTATGCAAGGAAAATGTTAGGTTAGACTTTACATACCAAGCGCTTGGTGGTGCCAAAATGCTACAGATTCAATTCACTATTTTCAAAATAAACACAAAATGGGGGCAAACAAATCACGGTAAGAAAACTGAATTACTTTCACAGCCAACAATTGATTTTCTAATGTAAATTCGAACACACTGTTGGTCATCATTCGGTTGAAGTGCTTCAGAGCAAACATTAAATTGTTTTTTTTTCTTTTGCTATTCCATTGACAGACTTATTTTCAACACTTTTTTTTAATTTCTTGGCAAATATGAAATGGAATCTTTTGATAATTTTACAGTAGAAATTGATTTTCCATTGATGTGAAAAATATGTCCATATTTTGCGGTACATCAAAAATACTTGTGCCCCTTACCACAAATACAGTTTGTTTTGATGGTATGTTGACATTGAATCATCTGTCTATATACCAGTGACTGAAATAAGTTGCATTTCTTCTTATTGCAAAATTAATTTTTATCTCATCAAATTAAAATAAATTCAAAAATTGTTCAACGTGTATTAACTTAAAACCGCTTTAGAAGTTATATCACGTTGAAAACAAATTGAAAATTATATTGCGTTATAAGAAATAGACATGAGTTTCACAATAGAAAGAAGAGTATTTCAGTCCCTGCTACGTACATTTTTGACGTATACACACGCACACACTCGCAAGTAACAAAACATTGATAGTGCAGTGTATTGACAAATGTCAACACAGACTGTGTCTGTGCTACCCAAATACGTAGGATAGTTCATGTATTTGAGCAAAAAAACAAAAAACAAAAATTGGCCGTGATCCACACTCAAACTGAATTATTAAATGGCATTTGATGCAAAATGATAGAGGAAAAAAATGATAATCAAAACTTGATAGAAACATCGTTTTTTTATAGTTAGTTTTTTCGCTTTTATTTCTATTTTGAGACTTTTTTTGTATTGTGTTTTCATCTACAATATTGGTTTTGTTATTTATATTTTAAAAGATGCGATGCGTGCAAATATGCTTTTCGTCTGAAATAGCCCAGCGCATAGCACAAAATCACGAAATTTAAAATGCAATCGATTTTTTTTCTGTTTTTTTTTCAGATTGAAAATAATCGTTCAATCACAATTGGTATAATATTTTTGTCAAACGGGAACCAGACCGCGTGAATTAAGTCGCCAACGATTCATTTTACACTTTTTTCTTTTTTTATTCAATACATTTTCGAGGAAAAAATAAAAACGCACACACACATCCAGACGTTGTAGAGTTTAAATTGAAAAACGATTATTTCTGTGTTGTTTTTTTTGTTGTTGTTGTTGTTCTGTTAACATTATTAAATGCACGTTTCAAACCGTACAATAAATAGGTTGACTATTTAATTTTTCGATTCTACAAATATCAATGGCAATTTGCTGTAAGGCTACTAAAATGTAAATGTAAATATAATGTACGAGTCGATTTCATCTTAAATATTCCATCATTTTCATCTTTTGTTGTGGCTGTTGTTTACGGGGAATTTATTTCTTCTTGTTTTTTTTTCCGTATTTTTTTTTCTCTTTGGGGTCGTAGTGCATTGTTTGGTTTTGTGTTCATATATTTATATAAAGATTGAGTATTTGTTCTTTTTTTTAATCTGAATTCATTCGATTCTTTCATTTCATTTTTTAAAGCATAAAATCGATTATGGCATTCTAGCAACGAATCATTATTATTTTAACTGAAATTCTATGAGTGGAAGTTCATTTTTGTGTGTATGTGTTTCTGTATGTATGTGTGTTTTCGTTCGTTATAAAAATCGTATGAAGTTAGAATAACAGATCAATCAACGTTTTATGTATTCTTATGTTTTTTTTTTCCTTCTGCTTTTACTTTTCGTTCATCTCGTCCTCGTTGCCAGTTCAACATTATAAAATAAATGCATGATTTTTTTTTTCTTCGCCTACTCACAATTGGTTTTCTTTCTCGTCATCTTTCAAATATGAACAAACGTCATATTCAATCAGTTTTTCTTATATTTCTTAGAAAATAAATATTCCCCTTTCTGATATCAAATATGAACTACATCTACTATATCACGTTCTACTTATATCTTCTTTCTTTTGGACAGTCGAATCTATCGCAAAACACGCTAAAAAAGGATTTTCATATACAATACGAACAAAAAAAGAAGAAAGTTTTATATGTTTTCTTGTTGATGTTGTTGTGTTATATCATCGGAACGATATTTTTGTTGTTGTTGTCAAATGTTAAAACTCCAAAGTGAATTGACGCATAGAATAGAAATTGTTTGTTCTGTTTTCATTCTCATCACGGTATTTCGTTTGCGCTATCAATAAGATAGGTGTACCATGTATGTGTATTTGTTTCTTTTATATGTCGTGTTTGGCTAGCCGCTTTAAATTTCCTTTTGAACGATGACATGTTCGAGTCGCATTTTGTCGGGCGTATCCCAGCAACTTTTTGTGCATGTGAACACCAGCACATTGCCAAATTCAATTGGCGATGGTTCACCGGTAACAAATTGCAATTTTGAAATGAGCGTCGGTAGAATTTGAATTTCACACAGCAATTCGGTGCCACAATACTGGCATTTTGGTAACGCTTCAACCAATGGCGATATTAGCAATGGCAACGTATCACGCGAATATCTGAAAATTTAATTAAAATCTAATTTATTTGCGTTTCTCTGTCTGCTGATGGCGTTTTTATCCCCGTCCGTCTTTATTTCCAGGTTATTTTTTTTATTTCATTTTTACTTACCGAAGGATTTGTCCCGGATTCTCTTGGATGCGTTCCAAATAGTTGTGAAACATGAGATCGCCATGTACGGGCATTGTTTTTTCATATTTCTCATCGTTATCACTCTTCATGGATACAATACCACCGGTTACCAAATTGCAAGGACTGCTCGGATTGGCTTTTTGCTCTATTTTAAATTTAAACAAGAATAACAACAAAGAAATGACATCTCACATGAATGGTTATTTCCACAAAATTCCAATTCACAACTTACTTTCTTCTTCGCCTTGATATTTATGCAACAGCTCAAGGATGTGATCATTGGTTAATGTACTATTCGGATCAATTGACGATTTTTTCTCTTCGTCCACAGCGATAAAATGACTTTTCAGTATCAAATTGTTGATATCATGCGGAATGGCTTTGGTTTGTTTGAGCATTGCAATTAAATCACGTTCGGGTGCAACGGGCGCGTCAACGCACACCATTTCCGATTCTTCGCCTTCAATTTCGGCCGATGCGCTTGGTGAATTCAGCAAACCCATTGCGCCACCTAATTAAATAATTGGATTAAAATCGGATGGTTCGACATTGTTTCTTTTCTTCGTCATAATCGAAAAATGAACTATTTTTAAAAAGAAAAAGAAAACAAAAATCGATTGAACCTTGTTGCTCGCCACAGTTTGCATTTTTATCATCAATCACTTGCAGATTGTTGAACATTGGAATTGGGTCGTCCATGGAATTGCTTTCGTCTTCATCGTCGGACATGTTTCGATTTTCATTTTTCGCCAACACCATATTATTGCACACCGTATTACCATTTTGCTCGTTCAGATTGTCGTCGAGCGGTGGCTGTTGTGCGACCAATTGCATTTGATTGCTACTTATGTTGTTCTTATCGAATGTATCATCATCGCCAAATTCATCGCCCCAATCGTCCGCACCATTGCACCATGACGTTATATTTATTGAGCTGGCTTGATTTTTCTTCTTATTCAATGCCCCATTTCGATCCGATAAAATCTTCTCTAAATGCTCGGTTCGTATGCACAGCCAACCTTTTGATTGATTTGAGCATTGCGAATTCATACATGCAAATATATAAAATGTGCGATGAAATTGCGAATTTTCTAACGGTGCATAGATTTGCAGCACTAATGGTCGTATCAAGCCACACAACGGACAAGGCGGTGTCGAAATTTCACTACATGGCCAATTCTGAAAAAAAAAAATAGTTATTCAAACAGACACATAAGAAAACATTCACAATAAAGGCATATCAATATTAATTATGAAGTGACCGTGACCGTCCTGTATCTATCTCATGTTATGCTCTCGTTTACTTGCGCTGAGAGCAACCACATTACAGATACACACGTTTCACCTTATTTTTCTTCTTCTCTTCATCTCTGCTTCACTAGTACACACATCATCGCCTACTTACGGGCTTTCCACCAATTTTGTTTGTGGTAAAATCAACAAATGGAATTTGTTTATCAGTTATTTGCTCATCATCATAGCCAAGCCAAACTAATGACGTATTTTTCGCCATTATCACACCACTACTTTACACCGTGTTGAGCACAACGTTAATTTTATGTAATTTTTTTTTGTCTTCTGTGTGTCCTATAATCACTCCGTTTCAACCACGATTCGTGGTGTGTGAATTGCAACAAAAATGTCCTATTACTGAAAACAAAAACACGCAGACCAATCATGAGTTACCTATGCTCTGAGCACACTTTTTTTATTTGACATTTCCAGCCAATATGAGAGCGAGTGCAAGAGATGTGTATGTTCGTGTATTGTCTATCCTGTGTGTTGTTGGGGGTGCGTTCACACGGTGACACCTTGCGCGCTTGTCAATTTGGAACATATATGTGTATGTGTGCATGTCTTGATAACTGTACTATGAATGCTTATTTGAATTCTGCTCTGCAAAATTTCGAAATGAAACCAAATTCGAAACGTATATAAAATTATATTGATTATTTTTATTAAAATGTTTTTTTTTTAGGAAAACATCCATTTTGTATTTAGTTTGAAAAAGGCACATTTTTTTTTGTATTGTTTAAACTGAATTTTAAATTAGTAAAATTAAAATAATATTCGCTATTTGCGAATCACCTATAAAGCATGAAAAGAACCACAATTAAAAGTTTTGTTTTTATTTCTCTTTAAATAATATTCATTTAAAAAAAAAATCCTTCGTTTAATTTGTATTAGTTGTACCGATTATTAAATATTTAAAATAAAAATTTGTTTTCCGTTGATTTGTCCCTTCACAACGCAAAAATCACATGAATGAAATGATATGAAAAGAAAGACGTTTTCTTCTTCTACTTCTTCTTTACCAAAGAAAAATAAAACATACACAGATGATGAATGTGATGTGTTTAAATATTTTGTGACAGAAATTTTTTTCCAATTCGAATATGATGGATTCGAATGACCTACACATGGAATTCTAATTCATCCCCGACATAAATAAAAAATTCGATCAAACGAAATGGCACTATGCGTAATAAAAAAATAAATCAAAAACATTAAAAAACACAATTGAATCAATGAAATTAGGTTGTTCGTAGCGTCGACATCGGTTTCCGGTTGTTTTTCCTTGTTGGTGGTGGTGGTATGTGATGCGCTATCGATGATCTTGTCAATGCTATGGTCAACGCGACGATGAAGCATTGATTATAAATCGGTGACGGGACCAGTTAAATTGATAGTGGTGCTAGTTCCATTGCTGTTTGTCATCATTTTTGGTCCGACTGATGTAATAGTCGATGTGATTCGTTGTTGTTGCTGTTGTTGTTGTTGTTGTTGTTGCTGTTGTTGTTGTTTTCCCACAAAATCATCAGCATTGCCACTGCTGTTATTTAATCGCATCGTCGATGAACCCGTGCTTATCGTAACCACGTTATTGTTATCCACTGCTTGAGATTTGGTTTGCAGTGTCTTCAAACGATTTTCCAAACTGAAAGCAAAACAAAAAATCACTTCAATAATTTTACGTCAACTTCCACAGCAAAATAAACTATTACTCTTGGATTCTTTTATCGGCTTGTTTATTGGTAGCCCGTGCATCTTCTAGCTCTCGCCTTAATTCTAGATTATCTTTTTCCATTTGAACTATATTCTGGTCGTGGGTATCGTTCTCCGTATTTGCATAGATGTCGTCTTTCGAGTGCTGAGCAATATTGTTGCGACTAAAATTGAGATTGTCTTCTTTGAGCAACTCATTGAATTGTTGTTGTAGCGGCCGCAGTAAATCCGTATCGTCATCTTGATTGTATTTGACTGGGAAACTGCGTCGTTTCTGGCTATCACTGGGCGATACAGACGGTCGATTCGTTGAGTTTTGGCGCAAAAAATTTCGATTGGGAGCATTTAACGGTGTCGATTGATTCGATTGATTGAATGGTGTGCTTGAATTCGAATGTCCACCAAAGTTTAGTAAATGCGATACAATACTTTTCACGGTTTTCACTTCATCCTCTAGTTTTCCGATTTGATTCTTCATTTCAAATTTTTCCGCTTTCAATTGATTGATTTGGATCTGAAAGTAGAAGTAGAAGAAGAAGAAAAAAGAAAATGTTATTTAATATTCTTTTCCGTCGGAACGGGCCGGGTCGGGCCCCTCCGTTAAATGGATGCGGCAATAGGGGAATTGGTTCTCTCTCACGCTTACTTTCATTTCTTCCAAGTCACGCATCATTTTTAAGTTTGATTCGCTCATCGACCAGGAACGCTCCTCGACCAATGCACGCACACGACTCAACAACGCCTCTTCCCGTACGCGAGCAGCTTCTTTAACTTCTCGCACAACATCAGTCACTACTCCCGGCGTATACACACCTGTAATTGATAATAACATACACACGAGCGTGCGCATATACACACACACACACACGTGCACAAAACAACAATTGCATTAATTAATCAATTCGAATGAAACACTCATAATTTGTGCGCATCGCATGCCAGCAACATTTATTCAAGCTCTCGAGCATGAATACAAGTGCACATTGCATTGCGAAGCAATTAAAAAAAAACGAGAAATAAATGAATATAAAATATACAATTTAGATTCAATGATAAGAACAACAGAACAATTGTTTTTTTCGTTGATTAAGTGCAAATGCTCGAAGATTAGTGGGTTTTCTCTTTCACACAATTACACTGGGCAATACAATTTAAATAATACACAAGAAAAAAAAACAGAAACAAAACTAAAGAAAAAAAAATGAAAATTACTGCGAATTTCGCCAATCGAGTGAATGGAGTCAGCTCAGTTGATTTAAATCGCTCCATTAAAACAATGGCGAAATTGCAAATCATTTTGAGCAGAGCAACAACAACAACAAAAAATAGAGAAACAAATAAAGAGGTCAAGATCGATAGTAAAACCAATTGATTAAATCTCAATTTAGAGGCGGATTGCTCCTCATATTTCAACTCTATTTCTCTCCCCTCGCTCTCTCTCTCTCTCTCTCTCTCTCTCTCTCTCTCTCTCTCTCTCTCTCTCTGTGAGTCTAAGTACTGTGTGCGACGGGAATACCGTCAATTCGATCGATTTACCTGAGTGATATGTTGGTGCTGGACTATGTGCTCCAAATGTATATCCCAAGGGCTGGCTGTGTGTGCTAAAGCCACTTATGCTATCTCTACGGTTTCTTAAATCCCAATTTGGTGCATGTTTCAACGTTTCAATTTCAACTTGATAGATAACAACACAAACAATTACGAAAAAACAATCAACCAACAGAATCTAATTATTCATATTTAGGGAAAGTGGAAAAATTGTTGGCGATGGTGGTGGTGGTGGTGGTAGTGGTGGTGACTCTACAGAAATAAGTGTATACAACATTAGGGTGGTCCAAACTGATTTATCATGGTAAGGTATATGCTCCCAATAGCTTAAAGTTAAATTGGGCTCAAAACTAGCTGATTCCCTTTTTCAGATGAAAAAATAGGTTAAAATCTAGTGGTCGATAGAGCCGTACTCAAAATGGCTGTTTTTTAGGCCGCAGAAGAATCCACCCAAAAAGAAATAACAAAATTTTCAGTGGGAAAAATTGATATTTTTCTATACATTCATACGGATTTTTTTTGCATTTTTTCGGTTTTTCTCCCATAACTCGAACCCCATATGCGACGGAGCAGAACTTTGTTCAGCAAAGTTTAAGATCTTATTAAAAGCTACAATTTTGCCTTTCAGTAAGAAGATAATGGTCTTGATAGCTCTTATCAATTATCACTGTTATCTCCTTTCTGATAACAGATAAGTGATGACTGTCTGCAACAAATTTGTAGGTTTCAACAAGATCTAAAACTTTGCTCAACAAAATTTTGCTCCATCGCATATGGGGTACGAGTAATGGGAGATAAACCGAGAAAACGCAAGAAAATCCGTATGATGGATTTTTGCTATATGGCTTAATTTGTTAAAAAAAAAACCATGTTTTTGAACTAAAACTTTTTTAAAAAGCAACATTAGCTAATTTTTGACAACGGATTCGTATTCAGCGTCCCAAAAAACCCTAAAAATGATATGTTACCAGATTCGATTTGAATAACCTATGGGTTTTCTATAAATAAATATGTTGAAAAATAGGTCAAAAACAGCCATTTTAACGCTCTATCGATCACGAGATTTTAACATTTTTTTTATCTGAAAAAGGGAATCAGCTAGTTTTGAGCCCAATTTATTTTTAAACTATTGGGAGCATATACCTTACCATGATAAATCAGTTTGGACGACCCTTATACAACATTCAAAGCGTCACTTCAATTCAAGAAGACAGAGACTGATTCTAGCTACGTCTACGCTAAACATGTGCCAGGTTCTGAAAGGTCGTCGAAACCAAGTAAACACCAGACGATTCACATTGTTTCATTTCGATTCTTCTTCCAGCCAAAAAATAAATATAAATAAAGACAATCAATTCTCTCTGTTCTCACTAGCTACGTAAGCTTTTTTGTATACACTTATTTTATTTGCCACTCACACACAACGAATAATATTAAACTTGTACTCACTTTTCGTATCATTTAAATTTCGGCAGATTTTTGAATTAGTCTCGTGCAGAATGTTAATTTGTTTGATGAGCGTTGCTATTAGCTTATTGTGATCCGATTGATTTTTCGTGTTGCTTTTATCACGATCGTTTTGTGTTTCATCCTCAGAATTGGCGGCCAAACATGGATCGCTGAATCTAAAATTGAATTCATTATTGTGTAGTAGGCTATGTGTTTGAGCAGAATAGGAAGAAAAAAAAAACAGCGGCAAAAGCGACAACGAAAGAAAACGCAAAAAAATTACCGGCGATTGTCTAGGCCATCGAGCAAATCATTTTGTGAGGAACTTCGATTCGTATCGGTGTTCAAGTTAACGGCAGGCGGAAGACTAGTGAATTCGGAATGATGACTGGGCGTTTTCATGGCAGCCGAAGGTGATGCAAAATTTGAGGCTCGAAAGTATGGCGATGTTTCAAAATTATTGACATATCCGAAATTACTTTGGTTCTGCAGAAAAAAGAAACAAACAAACAATTAAACAATTGACCAAATAAATCTTTTTTATTCTCATTTGAAAAAGAAAATGAAATTTACTTGAAATTCAGGCATCATACGGAGCAGATTGACGGGCGGTAAAACCATCCCCATTGAACCCAATCCATTCGAATTGATTACGTTTCGTGTGGGTCCGTCTAGAAATTCTGTCGATGACACGGAAAATGTTTTCGGTGAATCTTTCATGGTAGCATTCAGCCATTCATCCAGATGAGTCGATCGATTCGCATCCGCATTTGAGTTGCCATTGTTAAAGCTGCCAATATTGTTACTGTTGAGCCAATCGTCCATTGATTTTGCATTGAATTGATTATTATTTGCATTTAAATTGTGACTGCTGCCATTGGCACTGTTGGCCAATGCATTATTTTTGCTATATTGCTGTTGCTGCGATGTGTTCATGTTCGAAGGTGATAGCTTTGGCTTTTGACGTGTTCGCTTTTGATCTAATCACAAACAAGATATACAACCAATTAATTATCTAATCATATGATTCAAAACGAGCGAGCACAAAAAAAAATAAATCCAATTTAAAAATCGCTTGAAAAAAAGAAGAAATGAAAAAAAAACTATGGTGCATTTGCAAAACTACGGCTTTAACTACGTTACCATAACAAATCGCCAGATTACCACCAACATACCAAGATATTTGACCATAAATTTATGCTTTTTTTCCCTTCTTTCGTTGTATTATTGAAGTACACAAATTTTGCTATTGACCGTACAACGATGTGTGTCACATACTCCAGAAGGCGCTTTTTGTTTTTTTTTTCGTCGTCGTCGTATGTGACTGTTAAAAATGTTATTTTGCGAAAGAGAGATAATACAAAATGACCATGTTAGTTTTTTTGTGTTATATTGTTTTATTTTTATTTGTTTGCTGTTATGCGATCATCACGACCATACACACGACGACGCACAACAACTGAACGAGCGTATGACTCAATCACAACGACAGAAATAGCGATCTCCAGTTCTAAGATAGTCGTTTGGCGTTTGAGATGTTTCATGTTTCATTGTGCTTTTTATGTAATCGCGTGCGTGCACAAGCACACCAACAACGAAAGAGAAAAAAACACACCACAACATACTATATACTACATGATTTGTACGACGAAGTCGGCAACGTCAACGACAAGATTCGTCGACTACATGGGAATATTGTAGTTCACATATCAAAATAAAACGACGTTGAGCAGAAAATGAGCGAATATCAGCAGCAGCAGCAGAAGAGGAAGAAGAAATAGAAGAAGAGGAAAAAACATAGCCGCCATGTACACAAGATGTTAACAATGTGTCATAGTGAGTGTTTCACACAGTGACCAAAGAGGTAGAAGTTCAATTCGCAACTATGTGTATTGCACGTATTCAAATAGTAAAAACATCACGATCGTTTGGTGTATCGTCGTCGTTTTTGAGCAACGATTCGTTTTCGCGATTGCCGGAGATACCGAAAGAATGTAGTTCAGATCGGATGCAATGTCTGATCAATTTGAAGTAGCACATTGGATACCAGCTACCATCATATGCATGCATACATTCACTCTGGAAGGAAAATTCGTGAAGAAACTGAGCCATAGAGAAAATTGCCATTTTTTTTCTTCGTCTCATGTTGGTTGATGTTGTTGTTTTTTGTGCGCACTCGTTACCCGGAGTCAATGCTTATACCGATATATTTTTTTTTATCTGCTCTCGGTACATGTGAAAAGAAAGAGCACAAATAGAATGGAATGAAATTGGGTATAGATTACGTTGATACAGTCAATACATTTGGGACTTGGGAAGTTACAATGTTGCAAACGGCCTGTAGGTGATAGCCATGACTTGTGTGTGTGTGTATTGTTTGGCGGTGAACGAAAAGAGATGGAAAGAGTTGAACATTTGTTAACATGGATATGGTTGCATGCACACAGCATAAAATGCACAACAAAGCACCGCGCGCGCAATGACTGAATTTCGTGCAAACGAAAGCCAACAACAATAATATCAACACAAACCAACGGCAAAGGGAAAGAACGGTACTGATGAATGAAAAAAAAGAGACACATTCGACATCGTTCACATACCTATTGAGTTTGTGAAGCTCATGGGTATTATGTGTTCTGTGTATAGCACCAAAGCGTTTACACGCGCCCGAAAAAAAAACAACAACAACCTAAACTGGCTAATAAATAAACAAACAAACAAGCGGATCTACACCGGGTGAGTAAGAATTTGGACACCGATTCAATGGCAATTTAGCCGCGCACATACACACTAAACTTGCACAAGCCCAATTGCACATGGCCTCAAACAATTCCAAATGCATACGGAATTGAATTAAATGAATCGCAGAACGGTGTTGTTTATTTTTTATGTTCATTTTCTGTTTGTTGCTTTAATTTGTTCATTCTTATGATACGCTTCGTTAATTTTCTCTGCGCAATTATCGTAAATGGCCGAAAAATTAGAGACCGTACCTTTTATTATTCTATTTGAACTTTGCCTGATACCTTTTTTTACCGAATGAATTTTTAATTTCCCCTTTTATTTTCCATTTCCAATAAATAACAAATTCAATTGTCTAACCAATTTTGATTTTTTCAGTTTTAGTTTTTTTTTTGCTCTCGATTAAGCAATGTTTTATAATTCCATATCAATTTTATGTTAGAAGAGTAAATTTTGCGCTGCAATTGGGTAATTTAGATTGTTTTCGAGTTAAGAAAGCAAACCAAAATACTCGGAAAGAGAGAGAAAAAAAATAACGGCGATTTTAAACAATTAAAACAAGAAATAAGCCGACCAATGTGTTTTCCCCTTCAATTTTTCGTCGTCAAGTGGGCAAAAAAATTAATAATTTAAAGCGAAAAAAGTAGCATGGATGTAGAATTCGAGTAGGCTTCAATTGAGTTTTGAGACCAATTTAATTCAGTAACACGCCTAATGCGTCTATCACATTGATTGGCATTCATTTGGGAATCGATTCAATCGTTTTTTACCCATAAATAGAATCCATTTGCTTGGATAGAGAGATAGACACTTCCATGGTATACCATGTGAGTCATGTCGGAGTTTTTGTTAGCAGATTTTGGTGGACAGTGCACGAATCTGAAATTTAAAAAAAAAAAACAACACAGAAACAAACAAACAAACAAATGGCATGATGGCTTGAAGAGTTTGCGAAGCGAAAACTGTGCGGCTATACATTCGCAGCTCAGCGTTCGTGGTATTCGCGCTTCTTTTCACATACTACATATACACTCTTTTTTTTCATCTGAATGGCATGGTTTTGTTTGCAAATTGGTTGCCATGCATAGGCGTTCCGTCGAATGTTTTGTTACAAGTCAATACTGCGTGGTGTGTAAGTGTGGAAATGATAATAAAAAATCAAACAACAACAGCGGCAACAACAGCAACTGCATGTACAAACAAAAGACTCACATTAAATTCTCTGAGAAAATACACAAGGCACGAAAAAAAAACAAACGCAACCACAAAATTTCAACAGCACAAAAACAAAAGTAAATTGCCGATTCCGTATTATATCATTCGGTTGAAGTGTTTGCTGTTTTTCTGCAGCTTGCGTTTTAATCTATGATTGCTTTTATTTCTTCTCATTTGGTTCGTTTGCTATTTCGCCACTTTGTTCATGGCTTATTGGTATGTTTCCCAAGATGTGCCGGAAAAAAAATGTGCGCTATTCGAAGAATGAGAGTACCATCTCCGATGGCCGTCAAGTTGCCATTGTGTAAATGGTAGCGCGATGGATGTGCGTGTAATGTGCTTACATGCATCGCGCTCTATATTTGACATCGATCATAGAAACGATCGGTGGTTGTGGCAGCGGCGACGGCGGTCAACGATATGACGACGATGCGGCCAGCCATTGCAGATAGCTAAACCTCCGATACGTGAATTTGTATAATTGTATAAATTAGAAATTTAATTGTTTGCAATTTCTCACCAAACGTGTTAATTATCGCTTAAATTATTGTGAACCAACTAATATGTAATAACAATAGCAAAAACATAATGAAAATATCAGTTAAATAAAACAAGATACCCGGTTTTTATTGCCATATTACCAAAGCAAGATAGTGAGCGAGACTACGTGAACCGAACCCAACCAAAAAAAAAACAAACAAACAAAAAAACAAAATTAAAAAAGAAAGATAAAATGAACGAAAATAAAAGAAGTACAAACACAAAAACAGATCGGCAACAAAACAACAAGAGAAAAAAAACACAAAAAATACGCAAGAGGCTTGAACGAATAAATGAAAGAATGAAAAACTCACTTTTACTGTTTAAATTATCGCCGAAATCCGTGTTATTCGTTGGTGCAGCAGATGTTCCGCTTAGGTTAGCTGCATTTAAGGCATTCACACTAGCGCCGTTTGTTACGTTATTATGACTAGGTGCATTTGAATTATTTCCGTTGACCATTTTGCTGGCAACTGTTGCGGCTTTTGTGACGTGTGTTGTCATTTTATCTTTTCTCTGTTTCGGTTCAGAATATGTGACTCATTAAAATTGAGATTGGAAAATGGGACTGAAAACAAAACCGTATGCATGATGCTAATAATGATCGTTTTCTATTTTTTGTTTTTGTTTTTGTTTCTGTTATTGTCATAATTATCTTCCAGCGAATCGTGAGTGTCAGATTTGATTTGTTAGCAAAGAAAAAGGTCAGAATCAACGATGACGGAAGTACCAAAACCGGGCAATTCGTGATTCTTTCCAACTGATAAGATATTTCTACGTTCACACGGAAGATCATTTCAATTTAATTATATGGTGCATCGTATTTCCATGGGAATTGGTCGTTTTCCGCTAGTTTTTGCGGACGCGCGGAACAATTGCGCTGAAGAATATCACGTTCAATGTGTGATTCTTCTTGGGTCGCCGCCGCCAATTTTTCATGTTTTTTTGTGTGAATTGACTTTCTTTTCTTCTTTTTCTTTTCGGTTGGCCACAGCGAACCAAAATCCGATGATCCTCAGAGATCCGAGAGAAGAGAACACATTCACATTTCGGCACTCGATAACAGAAGAAGTCAAAATGTAAATGCGTTTTTTGTCGAAAACATATTGTACGTCAATGCCAATCACACATCACCACTTTTGAGTAATTGCAGCCAATTACATTTCGTTACTCTCTTTGATCTTTGAAAGATCAATTGTGCGCTTGGCTGAATTGAATAGAATAGATGGATTATTGAAATAAAATCTCTCTCACAACGGATATAATACACCAACACGTAAATAAATTGAAATTCTCTCTTTTCGTGTAATCCATTGTAATGTGTGTATTCTGAATTTGGTGTTTCGAAGAAGAAATCAGCGTGCTGCCGTACTGTTTTTATATGCTTCTTCTTCTTTTTTGGGAACGAGTCGAAAGAGAGTGTAACTCTCTCACTCTCACTCCATGTCTATTGAATAAATTACTGTGGTGCTTATCTCGTGATTATTCATCAGCCTTTGAATGAAGTAAGAAAACGATCGCTTAAAATGTGTGGCATTTTCGATCGTGGGTTTCTTATATACACTTTTTATTCCTCTTCTTCTTCTTCTGCTGTACAATGAGGAGAAAGTTCAGTGTCTTTTGGTTGTTTTGTCATGACTTTCATGCAGCTTCAACGACAGACTCTCTGTGCACACAGCAAGTTTAAAAAAATCGCTCTTTTTATGTCTTGTTGTCGTTTTTTTTTGGTTTTGGATAAGTGAAAAATGAATGTGGTTATCGATCGTGTTTGCTTCTGGTGAACATTGTTCTCGTGTTTACGATTTTATAAGAGCGAGCAATCGAACGACACGATGGCTGGCTTATCATCAAAGCATGAAGCAAATGCATAAAATACCAAAGAATCAATATTTATGGCCAATATTCGACAATTTTTAATCCGATTAAGTGGCGCCTGCTGATGAAGTCGCCTCCTTTACCCAAAATAATTTGCTCACACATCACCGATTATAGGCATTCGGATTGAACTTGTTATTGTTGATTGGAAGGCGAAATGGGAGCCAAACTCATGCAACATGTTAAAACATTAAAGCGCTCGAAATAACATGCATACGAAATGAAATGAAATACATCGAATTCCGGTTCGGAAAAATGTGAGAACAAAACTGGATTTTTATGCATATGATTGAATGGGCGCGCGCAATAACGCAAACGAAACTGTAAAAAACAGCGGCAGCCGCAGCAGCAGCTGCAGCAGCTACAGCAAAACACATTCCACGCATCTCTCAACCAATACTTTATCCTTCACATCGTTGTCGTGTGGCAGCAGCATTCATTCAGCCGTTAAACTACAGATACTCAATCATGATGGTTGCTTTGGTCGAAATGTTTCGTTGCACAATTTAGCCATGGTTAGCTTAGTTTGAAAATAGGATTCGTAATATCCTCATGAAAAGAACGAAAACAGAAAAGAAAATTCAACGTTTACCAAGCGTGTACATTAAATGGTCGGAATGAAATCTAAGACGACGATATTAATCAATGTTTTTTCCCCGTTCAAATTGTCATTATATACTAACGCTAAAATGTCGCATGCCACACACTGCTGCAATCGGATAAACAATATCGATCGGTTGGATTTTCGGTCGATGCCAATCGCACAACTTCATAAGTCCAAAATCGTACACACATCGAGAGTCCCTCCACCTCGCTCGCACGCTGTCGACATTGAAACTCATTGCACCACAATGCAACGGACATGGATGGTTTTTTTTTTAATGTGTTGGTATTTTTATATATAAATATAAAAATCAGTTGTTTCTTTCTCATTTTTGTCGATGGTCTTGGTTGCGGGCATTTCAATGGGATAAAGAACGTCAACATTTGCAACTGGCTCTCTGTTTCTTTCAGCCCGTCTCTAATTATTAATTTAAAGCGATTTTCGCTCGGTGATGCATAGAAAATGCTAGTTTCTTCACTACAACCGCGGTCTTTTTTCCTCTCTTCGTATCCTCCTTACCAACAACAAGAGCAAAACAAACAACAACAACATCAGCAACAACAGCTAAACGATGTAGAAGCAATTTTTATGTGAAACACCGTATGTTGATCGCTGTATGTAAATTTTCACAATCAAACGCGCAAAAATACCGAAACAATACACACAGAAAATTACATGATGGAACATAGTATAAATGGGATCCCATAATACAATAATGGCAAAACATAGCAAGCACATAAATATTCGCCAGTATGGAAATGAAATGAAATGTTTCGCATTGAGTATTTCAAAATGTACAATTTTTCTTTTATTTCTTCTTCTTTTTCATTTCCAAATGAAATTAAGAGAAATAAGAAAGAAAAAACCTTAAGAAGAAGTGTGTTTGTGTTCCTCATTTGTGGTCGTTGTTTTTTCTCTCTCCTCTCTTGTCTAATGTTCTGTTCGTTTTGTATGTGGGTACATACATTATTTTTACAAGTAGATATATGAAATGTTCTTGGCGTATGCATTTACGTTGTTTTTGTTTTTTTCTCCTCTGTTTCCAACAGTTTTCTCTCTATTTTTCTTCAATTGATCTGATCAATTCCGTTGCGTTTACCAAGTATTCCTAATTATCTCCGTAATATGAGGTGGAACATTCTATGGGCACTAGTGCCGTATTCCAACGTTTGTTGTTATCATCGCCGTGGACGTCGTTGCTGTCGTCAGTGTGTCATTGTTTTTTTTGGTCATTTGTGGTTCATTCGATAAATATTCTCATTTCTTATTTGGTTTTTCGGTCGGAACAACAAAATATGTAACAAGAGACACTAACTACGACTAATACACAAGCAAACAAACAAATAAAATTAGGTTGAGAATTACCAATCGAATTGCGGTTTCACGTTTCAACCATTAGCACACACAAACTGAACGGATGACACAAAACAACTGATCGAAATGTAGCGCAATGTTGTCGTCACCAAAGCACCCAAAAACAAATTTACTAAATAATATTTTTCGCTGCTGCTGCTGCTGCTGCTGCGGCTGGTGTTGCTAGTGCGGTCGTTGTTTCTTTGGCCGTTATGATTTTGTTTCTTTTGCTCAATGCCAAGCACCGAATAACATTTAGCCTATAGTAATTCAGTTGAAATGTTTAGTCACCAATAAAAATTCACACAGTTGATACTGTTTGGGGCGTCACGGCCATATGAGAAAAAAACTTGTACAATCTCATCGAAACTCTTTGAATGTCTCTGTCTTATTTAGCTGCATCGATGTTGTATATAGTTGAAGCGATTCATTTGGGACTTCTTTTTTTTCTTTACTTAAATTTGCGTCGTCGATTTATTTTACTTGATGCGATGCTATTCAATGACTATACAAAAATATAAACGAAGCAACACACTAAAATGCACTTTGTGTGCATATCGCTTAAATATATTTTTTTTTTCTTATTTGCACCACACACTATATGAATTCTCACATCACAAGACTACGACTGCCGAAACGTCACGAAACATAGGTATTTTTCTGCTGACAGTTCGCGTTTGACTGAGAACAAACAAACGACGATGAATGTTTGTAAACGCATACATGTCGGTTTCGGTTTGGTTCGGTTCGCAGCACACACAATGCTTAATGGCGCACAGCTACATCTGCAGCCGCACACTCCAAGCACATTCCAGATGGAGACGCCGTGGATATTTTGAACTTTGACTTTACATGTTCGTTTTTACTTCTGTTTTCTTCTGGACAGACAAAGTTGAATTGTTACCGTACGCGATAATGAAACGCAAAAGTGAATGTTGTGTGTAAGTAAATTATAAAGTTTTATTTCGAATCGATTTTCTTCTTTTTATCATTCGTCTTCTTTGTTTTTGCATATTCAATTATAATTCTGAAAACATTTTATATTGTTTCTTTTTCTTTGGTGTGTGTGTGTGTATGTGTGTGTGTGTGTACGTATCTGTGTTATTACAAAAATCCTATGAACACGTGCACATTTTTGTGGAATTAATACATATTTGCTTGATCCGGCCTTTGTGGCTTTCTTCTTTCCATTTAAATGTATTTGGTTTCTCCACTTGTTAGCATAGAGATAGCTGTAAAAATTACCTAAACGATTCTAAATGCTAAATTTTTTGTTTAGTTTATATAATAAATCGATAAAATTATAGCCTGAAGCCTATTTACATAAAAAGGCTATGAATCGGCGATTTGGCTAAACAGAAGGAGAAAAAAATGCACACGCTCACACACACGGACTATTAATTTAGACTAAATAATTTAGCGATGTGCCATAGGATGTCTGTGCCGTTGCGTCCTCCAATCACGTGACGATTTGTGTATATGAAAACAATGAAGTGTGTGTGTGTGTATGATTTCCATATGAATTGAAAAGAAAAATGTCACTCCAACTAAAGGCTTTTAATCGGTAACTAAATAATATTAATGAAAGAGACGGCGATTAGTTAAGAAATTTGAATGGTGAAAGTGTAATTCGCCCTTTCGAAATCGTTCGATTTGAGCGACTGTCTCGGACAGTCTCGACGTGATGCTCCAACAGTTTAATCATCAAAACAGATGGAATGTTTGGATGAATCAACTAAAGTTAGCCGAGACGCCGATATGCTCGCCACCGCTAGTCCTTCCCAAGCGTGTTAAGGATGCTATTCAATTTGATGAGACATTGAACGACCGTTTTCAACTCATTGTCCACCAATTTTTCGATAAAATCTTCAAAATTGATGTCAAAGTTTTGATCAATGGTTTTATCCGTACACGATTGTGTCTTAATCGCCTCGTCCCATAGCAAACGATTGTATTTCGGATGTGTTTGCAACAGCGTCGAATCCGATATGTTTTGAGCAGATGTTTCTATTGATCGTCGCAACGTCTGAAGCTGTTCGATAACGGCTATATATTTGGGCTGAGTCATTTGTCGTATTTTATAATGGCGATCCGATACGAATTTACCCAAAAGAAAACCTTAAAATAGCACACAACGAAAGCATTAAAAACCATGTGAGTATTGGAAATGTTCCGAGTTTTTGTTTTTTTGTTATGAAAATGAAATTTTAAACCGAGCATATCAATAATGAATGATGCGTCACGTTCGTCGCTTACCCAGTATAAGTGTAAAAAAGGATGCACTAAATATCAAGCTGATACAAGTCCTTTTTGTGATGTACGTTCGAATATCGCGGTCGTCGTTGATTTGCATGGCTGTTTGATAGCTTAAAACACGATGCATTTCTGACTCATTAGATTTGGAATTTGACACGGAAAAGAATTGTGTGTGTGTGTGCAATTGTTTGATGCGTGCAGAAGATGATGATGTGCACGGGAAATAAAAGAATCTTTGCCGAGTGCAGAAAACAGAAGAAAAAAAAAAGAAAAAGAAAAGAAAACGGAATCATTAAATTGACCATTGTGTGCAGAAAACATGAAAAAAAACCAAATTGGCTTACTGTGCCCCTGGCGATATTATGCGTTAACAGTTACGCGTTGCTGAATGCTTTTTTTTATTTGTTGTGCATGTGCTTTGTGTGCGTTGGTCACGTGCTTTTCGTTTCTCAAAAAAAAAGTTAAAAGGAAAAATTCGCTTAAATTCCCAACATTTCGTCTACATTTTATAACTCGACTGCTTTCCCATTTTCATGATGAACCAATAAATCTAAACAGACAGTTATTAGAATGTCTGTGATAAGTAACAAAAAAAAACAAAATGCGTTGAAATTTATTAAGTCGCAACGAAATAAAAACCAAATTTAATAAAAGTAGAAATAAAAACCACTGAGAGGGGTAAGGAAAAAATCGAAAATGAAACATCAACCAAATTTACGATTAATTTGTACATGAAGCCAGTTATGGCTTAAGTCAAGAGATTATCGGTTTGATAAATAAATAACAAATCAAAATATTGGGCCGCCGATTCGAATTGAATTGAAATAAAATGATGGCAATGAGAATGAGGAATGGGAATGAATCGGGAATTGATCAAGTCAAATCAAACCCAATCAATATCCTGTCTCTGATGTTCATCATAGATATGATTTGAAGATTCCGCCAACGACAGCAATAACAGCAATAACAGCAATCGCATTTTTGTGTTCGTTATTTATAGTCACATCAAAATGATTTAGTAACGCTCGCTACATGGCTTCACTTTCACAGTTCATGAATTGCGTGCAAATTATTTGGATATTTTTCTATACATTTCTCTCTCTATCTCTGTTCGTTATTTCGATGTTTTATTGTTATATCTGTGCGGAATGTGAGTTTTGTGTGTATGTTTTTTTCGCTGCCATACACGCCACTGACACATCCCAGTATCATTTGAAGTGCACACGTATGAGCAATATATTCCGCAAATGTCTATCAATAAACAAAGGATATTTCGCTATGGAAACTCGCTCAAATTATATTGGTAATTTCTCTTTCTCTCTCTTTTCCCCTGTTGGTGTTATTTTTTGTTTTTTGCCATCGCTCGTTTTGTCATTTGGTTTTCCTTGTCGTGCGCGCTTCTCTCACTTTTTTAATTCACATTTTCAGACACTCGAACCAAACGCGCAAAATAAATGAAAAAAAACGGACCACAGCAAATCATGTATGATTCGGTTGCTTGGCGCGATGATAGTATGTGTAATTTATCGTTATGTTTCAACGAAACGACACACAAAAAAAAACATATTGCGTGTCATTTGAATATAAAAAAAAAATGCTAGTATGTGTATAATAATCAAATGAAGAGAAAAGAAAACAACTAAAAGTTCAGAACATTATTTACAGAATATTCCAATACCTAATATGGTCGCGCGATGATATTTTGACGAATTTTACTGGTGAATTCATTGTAGTCGCTGAATCGACTTGAGATACGTATCAGAAAACCAGAAACCAAAAATTATACAATGGCATCAAAAAAATGTTCAGTCGAAAAATAGAGATTTAACGCTTTCACGAGAGAGAAGACAACAAGCATTTTTGGCCGTCAAATTAAATTGCACCGTTGAAACTGTTTGAAAGAAGAAAAGAAACATTTTTGAGAGGCTCTCTCAAACTAAAAGGTGTGAGAAATTGCACAACACGAAGTATTTAAACTTAGAACGCCACAACAGTGATATAAATTTACACGTTATATATAATTCATATGCGCGTGCTGGTCGTTTGTATTTTTTTTTTTTGCTCCGTTGTTGTTCGTTTTGCTTGCGTGAAAAATGTCAATTGGAAACAACAACACTGCAGCTAACTAAGACTCATGAATGTTTTTGTAAATTTTTCCGTTAGCCTCCTTTTGGAATGTTCTAAGTTGCGTATTGAAAAATGAATGAAAGATGAGTGAGAGACGCGACAGGCGTTCATAAGCCAAAGGCTGTCACAATGTCGACCAGATGTTACCGTTTAATCTGTCGAAAGATGGAACGCCTATTTGCCGTGACAGGCTATGTCGATCAAATCACAAATTGCACGTCTGCGACGCATGAATCTTTGAACAAGTTCAAACAAATCTTAGTCACACACATACACGAACAAGACTTTTGCTCCTCTCACAATCCAATCCAATCAAAGCATAAACAATTGAGTGCACTGTATCGAATGACTAACAACGAACGAATCAACAACAAAAACGAAATATGTCATGAGCGTTGCACTGAAATTATGTGGAAAAAATAGAGATAAAGAGGTATAAAAAAGCGCTTAAAAATTGCAAATTACACTCGAAATTTTCGACACACCACTGAATAAGCGCATCAAAAAGTGCCTCAGACTAAACAAACTAAATCCAATCTGTCGTCGACGACGACGACAGGAGAGACAAACAAAAAATAGCAACAGCTACCAAATGATAGGCTAAGCTAAAACTGAACACAAAAGCGACAAAGATTTCAAACAAAGTCCATGGCAAAATGAAAAGACAACGAAAATGTAGTCTCACATTATGTGTGTGAGAGAGAAAAAAAAAATATCGAATAATGGAAGAAAGTACGAAATTTTCGTTTCGATTTAGAATGACTTGCTCACTTTTTGATTGAAACAAATTTTCAAGTGAAATGAAGTGTGTTTGTGTATCGAAGTGATACTTACGTTTTATCGACACGAATAGAAAATCGCTACTGTTCGCATAAAATAATTCTCCATGCAATTTTCCCCCGCGCGTTCGAACAACACACGACTCAAAAGTAAAATTTTCTATAATATCAAACAGCATTGCTGTTGATCCCATACAAACAACAACACACCGCACAACGCAACGCGCTTCACATCGCTTCACACAGTGCGAGCAAGCGAGTTGAGCTAACACATGGGGGCGAGCGGGAAAGAAGTGAGTGAAAGTGAGAGAAAGAAAGGCAAACGAGCGAGTGAACGGATATTCACCAGCTTTGTTGTAATTCCTTTCAGTTATAGTGTGATTTCTTTCATTTTTTTTCAGCGACTCCGTTGTCGCTGGCTTTTGGCTCTCTCTCTCTCTCTAGCTTGCGCTTTTTTTCAGTATCCCAGCTCCTTAGTGAGTTTGTTTTAAATTTGCTCTATGACTTACTACGAAACCATATTTCTATATTTATAAATTACATGCCAACGCGTATCAACGCGCTTGCTATATGTTGTGAGCGTGAGCGCGAGCGCAAGTGAGCCAGAGCTCATATCGCCGAGAACGAAGCGATATAAATTTAAATACGAACCTGCACACGACTCTGTCAACATTATCAAAACAGAGAAAGACCGTTGCTCGGTTGGCAATGGCTACTTATATGCTTTGCTGATGAGAATGAAAATGAGGTAATATGCACTTAAACTGAATACACGAACAAGAACAACAAAGAGGAATGGAAAAAATTGAGAGCGATAAAAAAGGATAGAAAATCTCCGTATATCTCCAACAAAGTGTTTGGCTGTGATTTGTGATTAGCACCACTTTGGATAAGTAAGTACATAAAGAAAGTCTTTGATTGAGTATGACATCGATGGCGAAAGAGAAAATGCGCGCCATATGATGGATGAACTTCTAAAACTATTTGCAATCTAATTGAGATTGAATGTGCTGCATAAGCATGGCTTCTGTTTTCCAGGCGACAAATGATTTTCCAAATCTTCTGTTGGTTCACGCCAATGAGATTTTTCAACACCGCTGGACGTCCAAAGCTTTTAGAAACACATCAAGGAGCCACATTGATCAATCTACATGTAGCCAGTCGCGTGTAATGAATATTTGAATAGTTAAACAGAATCAACTGTGTAAAAAAGGAAAGTTCAAGGTTTTGCCCAAAAAAAACCAACACAGAAGGAGAGAGACATACATACAGTTGAGGTCTGCATTGATTGAAATCCAACGGAGATTGTAAAGTGCGTTAGAAATTGGCCGCGACTCGTATTTCACGCAATCAATTAGTCGTGTGCATACAAGTCGCAATCGCATAATAAAGGCTGTTGTATAAAAAAATGATTGAAACATAGCAACAATATTCGATGATATCGACTTCATATCGAACTTTAACTTCGATTTCTTCGAATCAAGGTAATGAAAATGCAGAACATTTGATGAAAAGTGTAACTTTAACACTGTTGCAAAGGCAAAAGTCATTCTAGTTAATGTCATTCGTGGAATTTTGTGCAGAAAGTGTGACACAGCATTTATGTCGATAACTATTCTAGAATCATGTACAATGTCAGAAAAACACTACTGCAAAAGTAACACCAAATAATCGAGATTGATTGAATGTTCGGCTATTTGTGCATGAATTGGTTGATTGTACTTCAAATTCACAAGCATTTCTAGTCGTCTGGCATCGACACAGCTTTGCACTTGTGCAGTGCCACTGAAAATCAGAAAATTTATTCGTCACTTGTTATAATGTGAAAATAATAAGCAATCAAGAACACTCTGAAATGCAAAATGGTCTGCATTTTCTCAGAAATGGGTAAAAATTAATATCTATTTTACATCGAAAACATTTTTCGATCTACCGAATACATAGAAAGGATTGCATTTATCGCTCCACTTTTGGTTTCTTTCCAAAACGGTAAATTGATACAGTGATTGAGAACAATGCGGTATGTTCCCATTTTATCACACATGTAGTTTAGCATTTTCGAGAAAAAAAAGCAGCAACCACAATAACAACAGCACATCGAAGAGAATGGAATGATTGAAAAAGTTACGTGTGTATTAACACAGCATTCGTATGGCTTTGTTTCGTATGAACATTCGTATGCTGCCATAAAACATTTGGTTCATGAGAAAGTAAAATGGTCAAAGAATGTCGACCCCTGTCGTATATGCAAAGCGCATACATGTAACACTAACCGAAGAAATATTCGAAATAAGTTGTAGATTGGCGCGTAGTTAAACATACATTGTACTGTATATCGAAGCATTTGCATTTTATGATGTATATAGTGTGTGTGTGTGTTTTCTTTTTTTCTCACTCTTTCTCTGTCGTACACACAAGAAGTAAGTAAGTGAGAAAGAAATGACTTTTCAACTCAGTTAAAATCGAAAAAATGCATTCGATTGTTGCCACTGTTTGCTCGTATTTCGTGCTCATAATCTCTATGATTGATTTATTGTGGTGTTTAATCTGCCCGATACTAATAATATCTTTCTCTTTCTCTCTCACACATTTCTGCGAAATAATTTAAATTCCAACCTAAATTAACACAATCATTGCATTATAATTCATTGGAATTGGTTGAAAAGCAAAAATTCATCGCTATTCATTGAAAACGTGTTGCATTTTTGCTTTTGGTATTCTTGGAATAAGCTTATGGTGTAAAGCCTTCCCCCAGAGCGAAGGAAGGCATTAACTTTTGCAAATGTCAACCGCATATACATATGAAAAGATAGGCAAATTGTACTTACATCGACATAGAAATAAAAAAAACAACAACATATAAAATCCGTCGTTATGGTTGCCATATCCTTTGTAAATGGAAGAATTTTGGCCGAATTTTTCATACATGTTGTCGATAATTATGTACATACAAGTCAAATGTGAATAGAAATTAGAATGAACGCAAAAAAAAAAAACGAAACACGTATAACCATTTCGTATTCCATTCGTTTATTATAGCATGTGATAATGTACAAAAATAACACTTTCTCTGAACACGCGATTTGTTTTGAACTTTGCATTTCGATTGCAAAGAAAACAAAAATTCATATAAATCACATAAAAGTTTGAATGTATGGAAGAAAGACAACTGTTCGACATATCAAATCGAAAAGTAGGGAGAAAAACAGCAACAAACAAAAATAGAAACAGGAATGACACGGAATTCGATGGTATAAAGTCTTTATTTGGATTTCTGTCGATTTTTCGAGAAACTAGAAAATCAGTTAAAATGACATTTCAAAGCCGGAATCATTCAAAGTTTTTCAGGCATAATGCATCAATATCATTTCGAAAATCATATATGGTTGAATAAAATTTATTACATTAACAACAATAAAAGTAGCAAAGAAGGAAAAGAAAACAGGATGGAAATGGAACTACCCGTTCAAATCCGCGCCATTCGCAGGCAATTGTTTTGATATAAATCTGTATTATGAGTCAAATGTCAATGAAATGAAATTCGTCGATTCCGGAATATTTACTATAGCACAGCTAATTATGTCTATGGGCTTTGATTTAAATGAACATCAAGCAGGCAACAAGGAAATTTATGCAAATTGGGATGAAAAGCGTTAATCAGACTGGCGGCCGAGGGGCGAATTCCATTTCGGATTTTTTTTCTTCAGCAAAGGGATGGATGGGGAGCGGTGTGAGTAAATTGTCGCGTAAATTAGTATTTACGTCCGTTCAAGCGTATTCTCATGTTATATGTTTCATTCTACAAAACACTTTGCTATCGTTGACTCACATTTTACTCCCATTCCCGTTTTATGCTATTATAACATATTTGCGTACGTGTTGGACGTGGGTTTTGAATGTATGTATGTGTGTGTTGTATGTATGGGAACAATTATAGTCTACGTTTTGCTTTTAATTTGTTGAAATCTTTTTTTCTTCTTCTCTTTTAAGCTAAGAACCATAGTCAAATTGATATGTGGACGGTAGTCAACCAAATGGGTCGAACGAAAGCCACGACCAAAAAATCAATAGTTCAGAAGCAGATAATGGACAGCTTCAGTCGGTTACTGTAATATTACTCTCTTATTCCGATAGAATGAACACACACACACACACACATGGTATAAAAGTACACATAGCTTCTAAATGATAATTAGATTACCCTCGATTGACGATCGGTAAGCGTATTTTATCTATGCTCTTATTTTTTCTGCGCTTTTGTGCGTTTTTTCTTTCTCTTCTTTTTGTTTTTCAAAAAGAGAATAGAATTACCTATTGGCACAACGGCTGGCGATTGTCAGAACAGTGGCCAAGTTCGTTTCGACAAGTGTTGTATGTTGTATTGTGTCGTTGCACAAAACATTAATTTTTTTAAATTGGAAATTTTTTAAGTTTTGAAAATCATCAAAACAAGCCACTTTGATTATCTTTGTTGGTGAGATTCGTTGAGTATTTGGAAAATGTGTGAAAAAAATTAATACAATGGCCAAAGCATAAATTTTAGTGATAAAATGGGATTGAATTATGTTAACGTGAAGATAGGATAGTTAGTTTTTTTGGATTAATACACCCAGCAATTATTATCACATTCAAGTCATACTGTGTTTAACGTGTTCTTTCAATGAGTTCGGAATCGCAAGAAAATCTCATCTCATCCGATCCCGAAACGCCAAGCGCGAGCAATGAACGCAAAAATTCATATGATTCGATTTCGGAAGAAAAGGAATATGTGCTGAATGCAATTGAAAAGAAATTTCTTTTAAGTGCCGAACGAGGCGATTGTGCTGGAGTGCGCCGGTAAATTAAAAATATTCATTCTCAATTGAAATCTTTATTGATTGATTCATTAATTCCGACATAAAACATTTAATTGCAAACCAAATTCAACATGGTGAATGAAGGTTGATAGCTGAGTACAAAGATAAGCCGACTGAACTAAATATCAATTGTGTGGATCCATTGAATCGTTCGGCTTTGATATCGGCCATCGAAAATGAGAACATTGAACTCATTCGAATCTTATTAGAGGCGAACATTGAAGTCAAAGATGCTCTGTTGCATGCAATTAGCGAGGAATATGTTGAAGCGGTTGACATGTTGTTATTGCACGAAGAAAAACATCATGTGGCTGGACAAGCATATGTACTCTTTTTTCATTTTATTTTTAAGATTTAATTTAGTGTGAAAAAGGCTATAATACTATCATTTAAAATTATCTCTCTTTTGAATCGGCCTCCAACAACAACAACAACAACAACAAAAGTCGTGGGAATCAGTTGACAGTTCGGCATCAACATTTACACCGGATATAACGCCATTGATATTAGCCGCCCACCGAAATAACTATGAGATTCTTAAGCTGTTGCTGGACCGAGGTGCTACACTGCCAATACCACATGATGCACGTTGCGGTTGTGACTTTTGTGTTCAATCGAGTCAAACGGACTCTTTGCGTCACTCACAATCACGTATCAATGCCTATCGGGCATTGTCATCCAGTTCACTTATTGCATTAAGGTTTTTTTTTGGCTTGTTCATCTTATTCTTTCGATTTGTTTGTTTGTTTGTTTGTCGGTTTTCTGGCATCCATTTTAATTTTATCATTCGAAAAATGTGTTTAATCATGATTTGTTATTTTATCAAGCTCACCCGATCCAATACTCAGTGCATTCGAATTGTCGTGGGAGCTGCGGCGTTTAAGTCGAATGGAAACGGAATTTCGTACGGAATATAATGTAACGTTTGATTTCAATTTCTTTCGGTTGTCCTTTTCATCTTTTTTTTTCTTGTCCTTTCTCTGTCTCTCCTTTGTCCCTTTCCACATTGAATTCCGTTGAAAATTCGTATTTACTTGACATTTAGGAGATGCGTCAATCGGTACAAGAGTTTGCAAAATCGTTACTTGACCATTCGCGTACATCACAAGAATTGGAAATCATGCTCAATTACAATTCAATACCGGGCACCGACGTCTGGGAACCAGGTGATCATCAATCACTCGACCGCTTGAAACTGGCTATCAATTACAAACAAAAGCAGTTTGTGTCTCATCCATCGGTTCAGCAATTGTTGGCGAGCATTTGGTACGAAGGTAAGAGTGAAGAAAACAAAGCAAGAGAGAAAAATCAACTCAATTCAATAACAAAAATAAAAGTAAAACGAAACAAAAAAACAAGTGTCTGCTCCATTCAGTAATTCAATATAAATTATGGTACAATGCACCCAAAGGCTTACCCGGTTTTCGGAGGAAAAGCATGGCTGGCCAATTAATTCAAGTTGCAAAATTGGGCTGCATGTTTCCCATATACAGCACGATTTATATGATAGCACCCAATTCGAAAATGGGAAAGTTCATGAAAAAACCGTTTGTCAAATTTATTTGCCATTCGACGAGCTATTTTACATTTCTAAGTAAGTCAAATATCGACTTTCTCACACTTCCCAGTTTTTTTTTTGGTTTTGCTATCGTTGTGTTTAACGAATGCGTTTATTTGATAATAGTGTTGCTCGGAGCGGCATCGCAACGTATTGAATATTTAGCATTGGAGTTCATTGGTACGCCATGGTTGCTGGATATTTTGGAAGAATGGAAAAAGCATGAACGTGGTGCCATACCCGGCCCAACTGAATTCAGCATCGCCATATACATCATAAGTATAATGAAAAAAAATCCATCTAACTGAATGCCAATCAAATCCATCTAGCACTTCCTAATGCATATTATGTAAAATCCATTCAAAGGCTTGATTTGGGGTGAAATTAATTCATTGTACTCGAGTGGAATAGCCGATTATATCAGTGACCTGTGGAATATCATCGATTTCATATCGAATACATTTTATGTGACATGGATTGGTCTACGCATCACTTCGTGGTATGTGGTTCAAGTAAGTTCAATTTAGATTTGATGTCGAAGAGTGTGTGTGTGTGTGTGAGAGAGAGAGAGAGAGGGAGACAAAACGATACGATTAAAATCGATCGATCAACCCGGTTTGACGGAGGTTTAATGTGCATCTATTTTTGGTTTATGCTTGGATTTTTGGTGTGATATAGAGAGAAGTGTCAATTGGACAGGATCCATGGTATCCGCGTGAAGAATGGGACCCCTTCGATCCGATGCTGTTATCAGAAGGTGTATTTGCGGCCGGCATGATATTCTCATTTCTCAAACTAGTGCACATTTTCTCCATCAATCCACATTTGGGACCGTTGCAAGTGTCACTCGGCCGAATGATAATCGATATTATTAAATTCTTCTTCATCTACACATTGGTTTTGTTTGCGTTCGGCTGCGGTTTGAATCAATTGCTCTGGTACTATGCCGATTTAGAGAAGAAAAAATGCTATCATTTCTTCAACACCGACATTCCCGATTTTGACAACAACGAAAAGGCCTGTGGCATTTGGCGACGTTTTGCTAAGTAATCCAATCGATTTTATTTTTTCGAATTGAATCACCATTTCAATAGAAACACACAAATCAATCATATATTTTTTTTTTCGTCTGTCGCCTTTTCCCTCTTTCTTTATCGCTATTGCAGCTTATTCGAAACGTCTCAATCTTTATTTTGGGCATCGTTCGGTCTCGTCGATTTGATGGCATTCGAATTACAGGGTATTAAAAGTTTCACACGATTTTGGGCAATGTTGATGTTCGGGTCGTACAGTGTAATCAACATTATTGTACTTCTGAACATGTTGATTGCCATGATGAGCAATTCGTATCAGATAATTTCGGTAAGGAAAAAAATCATCGCCGCCTCATTTAACTTCAATGTGAAATTATATGTGTGTGTGTGTGTGCTTATGAAAAGAAATGATTTGAATCAAGTCATTGTGTATGTATAATAGGAACGATCGGATACGGAATGGAAGTTTGCCCGTTCACAATTGTGGATGAGTTATTTTGAAGACGGAGGCACACTGCCACCCCCGTTCAATCTATTTCCAACCACGAAGCTGTTCCGTTGCGGCGGTGCCAAACGATCAACCAAAAGTCTTATCGTAAGTATATAACATCGCAATACGTAATTACGTTCGATTGAATGCAGTCGGCCAAGAGCATGAATTGTGTGCCGACGTGTGTTTCTGTATTGAGTTGATGAGATTTTCAGCTTTATTTATACAATAAACACAAAACAATGACACGACTGTCCACATTCATAGCCTACTCATTGCTTATTCGATTTGAAGACACATTCACTTATTTTGACAAATTGCCATGGTTCCTATCCAAAATAAATACAAATGATTCTTCAAATCCATTGGATAAGCAATTTATTGGCGGCATTCGATATAACTCAATATACTTGGCATTTACCAACTTTGCGTGAGTGAGTGAGTGTGTCTCTTTGTGTACACACACTTTATTTCCCATCGCCTTCATTTGTTTACAGAAAAGGTCGCTGGAAAAAGCTAAAAAGCGCCATGACAATGTAATGCGGTTGTTAGTGCGTCGCTATATCACGGCCGAACAGCGTAAGCGTGACGACTTTGGTATCACCGAGGACGATGTTATGGAAATTCGTCAAGATATCAGTACACTAAGATTTGAATTAATTGATATTTTATCGACGAACGGCATGAAAACACCCAATATTAAAACAGGCGATGTACAATGTAAATATTAACCATCCTCCCATCAAAATATCGTATCAATATTTTGTTTTACCTTTTTTCTCTGTCATTCGTTTGCTGTCGGTGGTTTAGTTGCGGGTAAAAAGGGCAAAATGATGGAACGTCGCATCTTGAAAGATTTCCAAATCGGAATCGTCGAATCAATCAGCGAAGCCGTTTCGGCAGCTGGTGTTACGGCCGGTGACGTTTTTACAACGATTGCGAAAGCAATTAATAAACGCACTTCAGGCAAACAGTATGTGATTCATTCATTATGTCTTTTTGAATATACCTACACATGTGTCTTCATGTTTTCTTTTTGCGTTTCTTTTTTATTCTTCGGCTCAAAAACAGCAAAAAGGAGGATTGGAATAGTATTGTGCGACAAAACACTATCAACCGATCCGATCCGATTGGTTCCACACGAAATTCACTGACACGTCGTGATAGGCGCAGTTTGCGACGAGACATTTTGGAGGAGGTCAATCAAGGTGTCAAAATGAATACGCAAAAAATTGTCGGTATGTTATAATATGCAAACGAAATTGTCCATCATCGGAAAATTATTTAAATGCACGAACACAATGGTTTCCTTTGTGAATTTAATCGGTTTATACTATCTTTTTCATAAATAAAAGAATACAATCCAAAATTGTCTGAGGCAACGCCAACCACTCGGGTTGCATATGTTAAATTTATGGCACCGTCAATGCGAAGAGAAAGTAACGCCGACGAAACGGGCATCGAACCAACAACCACAGAGACCAAAAAAAGCAAAATTCAAAAATCAATACTTCGCAGTGCTTCGAAAATAAGCACGGTACGTGGTACAATATATGAATTATACATTAATACTTTTGATGTGTGTGAATAATTGACTTTCTCCCTTGTTTGCGTTTCGTTGCAAACAAAATAGGAAATTCTTGCATCAAAAGTACATGAGACTCAAAAAGGTATGTTAAATAAACAATGGCGAAGAGAATTACATTTCACACATGCATACATTTTTTCATTAATGTGAATAATCATAGACGCAGAAAGTGCACCAGAAGAAGGAAAAACAGGAGGAGGGGACTCGGCAGAAGACGAAAAGAAAGATGAACCATCAACAACTGAATACCTTTCAGAACCAGAAAATCCAATATCGGCTTATGTCAACAGAGCATATTCACCAATTGTAGAAGATCCATACGAAAAGGACAGTCGGCCAGCGTCAACTGATTTAATAGAAAGCGGTTCAAAACCACCAGATGATAACGTCTCAGTTTCTTCAAGGGCAATGTCTCCAACGTCTGTGGCCGCACGAGCTGTATCGCCCGTATCTGAGCAATACCGTGCGGTGACACCGGCTCGAGCTCGTTCACCAGAGCCAGCACTGACTCCCAATCGAGCTACTTCACCGAAACCTGGAACTACTACGCCCACTGCTGGAGTGTCAACCAAAGCCGATGATGAAACAAAAGACAAAGCAAAGGCAACATATGGATCAAAATCATCGGATAAAACCACTTCAAATGAGCCAATTTTCAAACCACTTACAACAGAAAAAGGCAAATCAAAAACTACTGGAAAAAATATCGGTGGATGGATTTAAATAATCATACTCAAACAAAAGAAAAGAAATATGCCAAAATTCAACTATTCCAAATAGTCACCAGAACCAACTAGATTGAATGCGTTTTTTCTTCAAACTAATTTTAATGAAAATTCCATAGATAATTTATTGTTGTTCGGGATTCCCCAAATAAACTAGAAACGATGCCAAATTAACGCCTTCAGTTTTAATTTTATTTTATTTTTAGAAGAAAGGTCGTAGCGCAATGTTTGTTCGACTGAATGATGCAACCACTTCCAGCTGAGGAAGTAATTGAATTCATTGAAATTGATTTGTATATTTTCATGCGCACTACAAATGGAGTCGATTCTATCTGTGGCACTAAATGAGCTTATCTTTGGTGGTGATAAGACTGATGAACAATAATGAATGTTGTTTCAATTCTGCTCCTACGAGTGTTACTTCATGGTGTTTTCATGACATTCTTCGTTCCGGAGACACAGCTTGAATGATATCTTTATTTAGTTCTTTTTTTCTTCTTTTTTCTCCATTATCTTCAGGCTATTCAAAGGATAAGTATAATCAATTTTCACCTGTTGCGCACCGTTCGCCAGCCGGATGCTTCCTCATATCTGGAGTTGAATGGATAATGTTAGACATGCGTTGGCCACGTATTTCAATCAGCCCCGAGAACTTTGATTCAAAACACATTAAGAAAATGTATTTGCCAATGTCTGGGTCCGATCTATGAAGGCAACCGGCTGATGTTGCCCACCTGTTGCAACAAAATATTGAGCCATTATTTAAAAATAGCACCCCCAAAGACCAGGCTCTGCGTGTAAAACTATGCGCCACCATTAAATCGTAGAAGGATTTCATGCGCGATAAGTTCTCGCCTATGAGTAATCAGAAAAATGTGTCGAGCTTATCGAGGACAACTGACGTCAATGCCATTTGCTGCAACATGAACCAAATCCGGTGGCGGTGTTATTTTTTCCGTTCTCTCAAAGTGAGAGTGTGATCTTGTATGCGACGAGTATTTGCGTAGTGAACAGAAGCTAGATTGATGCTGTGCGACATCATTGCCAATCTGATATTTATTTGGTGTTCATCTCGATTTTGCTGCGAGCCAACGTAAAAAACGCATCAATTTAACAGTGTGAATTTAAATACGTAACTGAGAGAATGAGAGAGAGAAGACGAACGAAGGAATCAAGTTGGTTGGTGGTTGGCAGTGCTCAACATGTACTTATCTGATACCTGATTAATGATTGTCATGGCTGTGTGCTAGCAAATTTGTTTTCATTTTGTCGCTTTCAATGCTGATCTCTTTCGAGATTCCCTTTTGTTTTTCTCTTTTACCATTGCTCAGGGCATTTATTCCGATGCCATCGAACTATAAAAGAGTGTGGAATTGGCTGATTCAGAGTCAGTGAACAAAGTGAAATTGAATCAAGCACATCCAAACCCCAATCTGCAAACGGTGGTTATCTTGGATTTATAAGCAAAAAATAAAAGAGAAATCAAAATTGATTCTGATCTTGACAGGTGTTAGTTCAGTGTATTCGCTATTGTGACTTGACCGTTAATTTACGAAAGAAAACCAACAAAACCAAACGACAAAATGACCTGTTTAGAAAATATAATTGTTATTTCGACCATGTTTATAGTGTTAGTTACAGTCCAAGCAACCAAAGCAGAAGGTAAATTAATCAAACTGTCGCATTCCTCGAAAGGGAAGGCAAAAAATGAACCGAAAGACGGATAAATGTGACTTTTTTGCGGAATGTGGAATTTCACGAAATGAAATAGCAACTGCAGGAAGGACAAACTCGATTCACTGAAACAGCAAAATGTGCATATTGTAGAAGTTTGATAAAATTTTTCAAAGAACATCTAAACTGAGTTTACTGCGAACAACATCTCTTTCACGCTAACAGCAATTCGTGCACGAACGAGTCAGTGTGACAGTTGGTGTGAGCGGGACAAAGTTCGACAGCAAACAATTTGGTTGTGTCAGTTTAAATGTTCTTTCGAACATTCCTCGGGCAAATTTCAATTCAAATGAACCTTTTCCAAATTTTGAAATTGATAAACTGTGCTGAATGAAATGGTTTAACTGAGCGAATAAAGCATAAACAACCGTTTGCCTCTGTATACCCTTTTCTTGCCGAAAAGTTTTTTCTCCTTGTTTCCAATTCCAAATATTTCGAATATGCAATAAAAATGCCGTTCAAATTTCTTCGAACAGAAATTGATGCAAAACGTGGAGCTGCTATACACACACTCACTCCAACGCCACGACGACGAAGTGATCCGGAATTCTTGAAATGGGATAGCGAGGTTAACGCTATTTTAGACGATGATTACGAAGGTGAATTCATTGATTGATTATTTGTACAGTGTGGTTTGCGAATTGAAACTATTTCAAAAATTGCTCAATCGAATTGCAATCAAATAGCAATATTCTACATATGGCATCGATTTAATTGAAGAAAAAAAACGTTGTAGTTTGCGATTCAATGAGATTGAAGTGCTTGAGTATACTCAACGTGGCCATAGTTTATCCATGTTTTTTTTTACTTTGATTTTCATCGAAAATTGTTGCAGGTACTGCTGAATACAATGGCAATGAATTTGTTCGGCCATACTTTGGATTCCCCCGAATTTCACGAGCCGGATCACGATTTTATTCAAAGCTAGGCGAAGGTTCACAGGAAACAATTAAACGAGGTGGACCAGGTGGCGGTGCTGGCATGTGGTTTGGACCACGTTTAGGTCGCATGCAAAAGCGAAGTCCCACCAAAGAGCATGTTTAAATCAACAAACAAACCCTCCCCATTCCAGCAACAACCACAGCTGAAACACACCGAATGCCAAATCAATACACTAATATTCATCATTTCGTAGTTTCGATTTAAAACAATACCAAACAGATATATAAGTAATGGTCATACACACGACACACTTCCCACTTGTCTACCTAATGTCTTATAGATTAGTTTTTTTGACAAAAAGAAATTTACTCCAAAATGAATGTGAATGAAAGACGAGTCACGAGTCTGGCCCTCTTTTGCGATGTGGATATAATGTTTGCAACAACAAAAAAATTAACAATTATTATATAAAATGTCAAAGCAAATTACAAATAAAAAAAATCTACACAAAAAAAAACACGAAAATCGGATTGTTTCAAACCAATATTTGATAGTTGAAAGTAGTCGCTTTAGTATGTTTTGAATTTTAATCAGAAAAGCGAATGTTTTCAATCGAACTTTTGGCTGGTTTTTGAATTCAATTATTGAAGAAATACCGAATAAACAGACTTTTGGTCGATGGAAATGGTGTGACTAGTATTTCTTAACAATTGAATTCGACATTTTAATTCACACAAATATTGGTAGCAAACTAATTCCAATTCAATGATTCAATAATTGTGATTGTATTTATGTTTATTCTTTGCAATATACATTCAGTTGTTATATAAATAAAATTGTCTATATCGGAAATGATAGTAAATTAGGCTTGTTCTTTCTTTTTTCCAACGGGGGTGAATGGGGAGTATTTGACAATAGTTAATCGGAACATGGTCTCCACTTACAGGAGAGAATAGACGTGGAAAGCTTTCAAGTGGAAACAAGTAAAAAAGAACCGTTTCCACTTTGTCGGTAGTGCTAAATAAATACACTCAAAACCACATGAGAGAATTGTTCACATTGAAACGGCGAACTTTACATTTCAATACATTTTAATACTTGCTACTGTTGAATTGGGAAATTTTATTTCAAAGAGTCTGAAATGTGTTTGAATTCTCGCCCAGAAAGCACTGTTGAAACGATTTTCTATGTGACGTTGAAGATGACATCAAATGTGTAGATTGAATTATTTGTCTTCAAGGTAGCACTCGAGGTCCTTTATAATCGAAGGAATGTTGAGAGAAAACATTCGTTTTGCGATCGATTAACCGTAATTAACAGTGCAAATTTATATTTTTGCTCCCACATAATATTTGAGTCAAATTTACCGTGCGAAAACGAAATCTAATGACTCACGAAGTCGTACAGTAGTCTGAGATACTTATGAAAGTAATTCGTTGGATGATTGAGAGTCAGCTATGATAAAATTCAGCCAATGTATAAATGTATGGCTTTTAATTGAGGATGAATAAATCTGTTTAACATTAAATTCAATTTTTCAATTGAATTTTCATGGAATCCTACGTGATAATACTTGGGCTATCTCATATGCACGATTGTCATTCGTCGATTGACTTTTTCTGAAAATGCAATGTAAAGTTCTAGAAGAGTACATGAAACCATATTGAGGCTTATGAATGTTTGGACCTTCACATTCGTGATAAAAACGTTTAAAGATAGTGAATTCGCATATTTTAAATGAATTCTATATTCTTTTATCGAAGTTTTAACATTGTTCGCAACGGAATTATTCCATTTTGTGTCGAATAAAAATAACAAACATGTTCTCGAAATAGTTTATCTTGCAGTGCTTTCAAAAAACAACATTAGTCACTGGGTAAAACCAAAATTTGCACGTTCTATTGAACAAATATTGTAGAAATCCCCGTACCTCTGTCCATATTTACTTTTACACATTCACATTGCATAACCTTTCTGCATGTAAATATTTATCGAATTTGTGCATTATTCATCAGGCGTTTGCCTCAACTAGTCGGTCAGTTCAACATCATGTTGTGTTTAATCTCGCGCATGTAATGTGTAAAAAATATAAAATCATTCACCAAATACTTTTAGTACAATAACAAATATTCCTCTTCGAATTGAAAAAAAAGAGTTTAATTCAATAAATGAATTTGCAAAATATTGTGTTGAAACATTTTAAATGTTTAGTTGTGATTGTGTGTGCTATAATTGGCATACTTGTTCTTTTTATTATCACCTTTGATGGGTAAGATGATAATGTTATGAAAAGACCATTAGAAAAAAATCAGCAAAAAAATTTTTTTGCATTTCATGTGAATTCGAATGTTTTTGATGATTCAAAATATTTGAATGTAACTCAATCAAATCATTATAGAGAAGCTTGTCCGAAAAGTCCGCCAAATCGCCTTGGTAGAATTCCGATTGATTTCAAAGAAGAAACGCTCGAAATCGTAGAAACGCGGCTTAGTGTCCCACTTCAGCCAGGCGGTTGGTTTGCACCGAAAGAATGCAGGGCAAACCATCGTGTGGCTATAGTTGTACCGAAACGTGGACGAGAGTACATGCTGCCAACATTCTTGAAGAACATGCATGCAATGTTGATGAAGCAACAAATCGAGTATGGAATCTACGTTGTAGAACAACCCCTTGATCAAGACTTCAATAGAGGAGCTCTATTCAATATTGCTTTCAAAGAGGCGCTGAAGATGAAACAATGGGACTGCTTTATTTTTCATGACATCGATATGATTCCGTTCGATGATCGAAACCTTTACAACTGTCCATCAAATGACGGCCCACGACACATGGCGGTCGGCGTTGATAAATTCGGATTTAAGTAAGTGGTTCATCGCTGGGTTTACCAATGAAAGATTTTCGTATTTATTTTTGTCAACATTGATAGGCTTCCTTATGAGGCTTTTTACGGCGGTATCATTGCCTATACAACGGAGCAATTTAAAAATATTAATGGCTTTTCGAATATGTTTTGGAACTGGGGTGGAGAAGATAACGATTTGTGTAAAAGGTGGTGATAAAAATTGATTTAAATTAGTATTTATATATTCAGAATTTGTTCGTTGATCGTTTCACGTATTATTTTTAGATCCGAAAATGCTGGCTATATTCTTACAAGACCTAGCCCTGATATTGCGGTCTATTATTCACTTCCACATCGCGAAGAGAAACGCAACCCAAACCGGTAACACTATCATGATCGTGTTGTTGTGAAACTGTTTTTACTATGATTTAATTGTCATAATTTCAGGTTTAAACAATTGAAAGAGTCGAAGGTCAACTTTAATATTAGTGGTTTAAACTCTTTAGACTACCATATTAAAGATTTCAAAATCAAACCCACTCACGTTCATATTTTTATAGATCACATGAAAATGGAGGTTGGAATAATTGTTTTCTACAAGGCATGACATTTTGTTATTTTATTGCAAGTTATTCGTTTTTTCTCTCTCAGGAACCTGGCAAAAAGCGATGGACATGACTTCAATTTTACAGCAGAACGAAAAAGATTTAAAAAAAATTTGGTCATGGAAGTTAGACAATAGAACTAATATTATAACGAAAGCCAAAAATTCTTGTTTTCAATATTGAAATGCAGTTTGATTAAGACGATAATAAAAAAAATGTCTTTCAAGATGCGACCTGTACGGAATGATTTGTGTATATCTTCATTGTACAATAGGCAGAAAATGAAAGAACATTGAAAGGAAAACCATTTCAAGTGCAAACAATGGTTAATGGTAGCTTTATGACGCGATAAAACACGACTCTCAGCCAATTTCAAGCGATATCTCGCGCGATCGAAAGCAATTGCAATTACCTTCAAATAGAGGTATTTATCATTCCAATAGCTCCGACCAATTCCGAGAACGGCACGAAAACCTGTTAACAAAAAACACTCAGCAAAAGCTACTCATATAAAATCTTGAAGTCGTTTCAGAGTGGTGTGTGACAATGAAATCAAATCAAATATCACAAATCGGTCAGGCGGAATCGAAAGCAATTGCAATTACTTACAAATCGAGATATTTATCATTCCAATAGCTTCGACCAATTCCGAGAAAGGCACAAAAATCTAAAATTCGTTCATATTTTAAAAATGAGAATTCAGTTACAGATCTGCAACGTAAGACCTCTTTTTAATGTAAGGTAAGATTGACTCCGTTGCTTTTCGAACAACAACTGGTTTCATCGAGAACCAAATTGTCAATTTATAGAATATTTTTCTACTCAATTTGGGTCATTACTCATTTTATAGACTACCTATGCGCTGGTGCATAAGTGCTTTTGATTTCAACTTTCAGTTTATTTTTTTCAACTATTGTTCGGATCCAAAAATATGTTTACACTTACGTGACAAATCATATTAGGTTTTTAATGAATTTATTTACATTTTTCGTACTGCGATAAAAGCCTATATAAACAATGTTATTATATTTGACAATATTTGACTCGATGTCAATGACGATGTGGCAGCGCCACCTATAGAGATTCCTTATTAAAATAAGTGGAACTATTGAGTGCGTGCACCATATCGCACGTAAATTTTCAATATGGCAGCGCCCATAGAATTGAAAAGTTAACCGATTTCATAGTCGCAAATTATCGCTGTACGACATTTTTTTACCAAAAAGATAAATGAAATAAACAAATTGGTTAAACGAACTCAAAAAACATAATTATCTCAAGTCGGGGAGAGAATTATCGGTTTAGTTTAAGAGATCACAAAAGTTCCATTTTATTGAAAGAGTCATGTAAACTATGAAATATCATTATATATTTCTCTACCAATGTGTCCAAAACGCATAGATTCAGTATCGCATGAGGCAGATATCGCATAAATATCGCGTGATAATTTTCTGCTTGCGTTGACACAGTATACGATACTTGAATAGTCTTGCGACGCACGCTTGCGTTCGCTTCGTTATATGTGTTATAGTGCCGCCAGACGATGCAAGTAAAGCGCTTGCAGCAAGCGCTTGCAGCAAGCGCTTGCTGCAAGCGCTTTACTTGCACTTGCAACGTCTGATTCCGAAAAAAGTACTTGCGTGCAAGTGCGAAAGTGCTTGCCGCAAGCGCTTGCAAGCAAAACGCTTGCAACGTCTAGAAGCGAATGTTTGAAACAGTGAAGGCACTCGCACGCTCGATCGCACGCTGACAGTTCATTTGTTGAGTGAACAGCCACGAGGTAAGTGTCAAATGTGATTCAGTGTCAATATTTTTCTGATGTTTTTCAATTGTTCTGTGTTTAATTTATTTTTTCATTGTTGTTGTGAATAAATTATCGTTCAAGATGTCAACGCAAACATCGTTGCCGGACGAAAGAGTGTTTTCTCTCATAAAGGAAATCGAATCCCATCCATGTTTGTGGCAAAAAAGTCATCGACACTCCAAAAATGCCTATAAAAAGAACGACGCCATCGCGCAAATCGCTGTAATACTTGACCTCACGGAAGATATGGTCAAGGATAAAATTAGATCGCTACGAACCATCTATTTCCAAAATGCACAAAAAGCCAAGAAAGGCAAGAGCGGTAGCGGAGGCGGTTCGCAGCCAAAATGGAAATTTTACAATGCATTATCCTTTTTACAAGGTGAACTAGCTGAATGTGGAGCTGTTGACAACATGCAATTGAATGAAACAGTAATGAAATGGATTCGGAGTTGCGATAATGCGCGTTCTCATCATCCCACGTTTTCTTTTCGTTATTCTCAGGATGCTGATGAATCCGCAGCCGCATCATTGGATTCAGCGTTGGAAATCGAACGGCCATTATCGTCTATGTCAACACAATCACATGCATCTTCGACCGGCAGCGCTGGAACACCAACCGCATATACAAAGAAAAGAAAGGCAGCAATAGACGACGACCGACGTGCTTGTTGGAATACATTGTTGGAATCAATAAGCCAAAAGGGTGTTCAAGAAGAATTCGGAAATTACATGAGCACTACTTTAACAGTAGTACTACCAAAATGGTATCGAAAAGTTGGAAGGTCGCTATAATCGTTGTATCGCCCTTGAAGGCAACTATGTTGAATAATAAAATCGAATTTTGTCAAAATAATGTGTTTTAATATGGTAGACCGGGGACTTTTCAGCCGACCTGTTAGCTCAAATCAAAGATGAAAATTTGGTCGAACGAACAAAATCCCAAATTCAAATCATTTTGGCCAGGGCCTTAACCGAATCCGCTGAAAAGCAACTGACTTCCAACGTCGAACAGGTTTTGGTTTTCGATTCGAATGGACGCATCATTTCCGATTCCGATGTGATAATCGAAGAAGTCCAAAATTAATTTCATAAACTTGAATCATCGCATGAAAATTCTGAAATTCGAATTAGTTAAAATGGAATTCGTTCTATTGAAAAATCTGATTTCAAAATGAATAAACCGATCAATATCTTACGAAAAAATGAAGTGTCTTTTATTTCAAAACCATACAAAATATGCATTCTTTTCGAGAACAACATTTGCGCTTGTCGCCTAAATAAACCGACGTTTGTTTATACACCAATGTTGATATAGCATCGAATTCACTCAAATGAAATAATCACGTTCGTTTCACATGAACATTGAGCGTGAGTGTGAGCGAGAGATACACATTGCACATCAGCTGAAATGCGGATTTTGAAGTCATTTTACGAATTTTATTTTTCTTCGTAGTTTTTAATGATACAAATAATTTTTTCGAACCTTCATATATTCATCTTTCATAGTGTCATAAAGTGCTCGGCACACTTCAGGTATGCTCGTAGAAATCGATGGTGGCGATATACGGAACAGTAGCGAAAGTGTTGCAGTGCTATCGCCAGAAGCAAGGTATTTCACAGTCAAAAAGAAAAGTTCTTCTACAGAAATTGCTACACGCATCACCGTGGTTTGTTTTTCCACGTAAGGTCGAACTTTTTCGCACAGTTCTTCAAAGTCTGGCTGCGTAATATGTCCAAAACGTTTATAAAAATCTTCACCTTCCTTCGCCAAATCGCCCATTAATTTTTCGAAATATGGGTTCGAGTCGCCTCGAAACCAGAACTGACGTGCCCACACAGTGCTTTGGGGCCTATTTTCGTCTTCTTCCATTTCGTCCAACATCATCGCCAGAAATAATTGTTTTGGTCGCAATTTAACTTTCTTGAAATGCTTGTGTCACAACTTGAAGATTTTTTGTTGAAATTGAGATAAATCAAATCGAACTTTCAAGCAAGCGAAAAAGCACTTGCTGCAAGTAAAATGCTTGCAACGTGTAGAAGCATGTGCAAGCACTTGCAGCCGAGCAAATTTGCTTTCACTTGCATGCAACGCTTTACTTGCATCGTCTGGCGGCACAGCAATATGAACTGAATAGCATTTGTTTTGGATAAGGAATCAAATCATAATTATAGTTTGAATTTCTGATGGGTCGTTTTTAAAAATTTACCTGGTTAAAGTGAAAGTAATAAAATGAAATCCAATCTTATTACTTCTACTTCAAAATTACAAGACAATTATCCAAAATGTCTCATCAGAGGTGAAAACTATAACTACCACTCGATTTTTCGTCAACAACTGAACAAAATTGATTATCAGAGATTTTTGTAAAACTTATTTCTGTTGGCTGAAATTTACAAAAAAGGCTCAAAAATGATTTACTTCTACACAAATCTAACATTTCGATAAGTTTAATGTATGTTGAAAGTGTACGTCCCCTGCGATATTGTCGACTGTTTAGTTGTACACACATACAAAATAAATTTTGTACTTTGTTGCGTTAGAAGAACGAAACGTGCGAAAAATATCGTGAAAATTAAACAATATCATCCTGCCGAACAAATATTGATATTCAGCGGTAGTTTATGGTTTGAACCATTCTATTTATTATAACAATATGAATATTTTTGCAAAAAAGAAAAAAACAATCTCAATGATTTTTTCTGTTCTAGAAATATATTTGTTGAATAGGATGTCATTGCCTTTGTACACAGAGGGAAGAAAGGGTCAGATATTCGCTACGCTCAATTTTTTTCCTGAAAAAAAAAACAAAATTCAGATTTCTCAGACAAAATTTTTTTTGGTCTATATTATGGAGGTTCAAAAAAAATTTTGTCTGAGAAATCTGAATTTTGGTTTTTTTTTTCAGGAAAAAAAATTGGGCGTAGCGAATATCTGAACCTTTCTTCCCTGTATGTAATAAATAAATCAATAGAAAATCGGAACAAGAAAATACTAATGTGCGTTGTCAACCTTTATCGCAACAAATGCGATAAAAAGTGAAATATTATTGGAAGAAAAACAATTGCATGTGCAGTGAAATAATTCTAATTTACAAAATAAAAAATAGTATTGAATTTATCATTTTGCAAATCATTGGTTTTCTGGCTTCGTCTCCAGCTTAGTTTCCGTTTCGTTGCTAGCGGGAAAAATTGCATTCTTTAATTTAAATTATCATTATCCGTTTCGTTGCCCATCGTTGCATCATGAGATATCTCTCGGATGAACCAAGAGCCATTCTTGGTATTTTTAGCATAAAAATATTGTCTATTATTCATGTAAATTATTAAAGTAAAATTTTTGAATGAAAACTTTTATGATAAAAAATTGTTATATTAAAACTTTTCCTTTGTATTTTTCGAAAATTTCAAATAATCAAGCACAAACGCGATTGAGTTGAAAAATGTTACAATAAATGTAAACAATCACAATACGCTTCTTGCCATTATTAAATCATCAACACTTTCAGGCAAGAGCAAACTTCTTTTGTCTGTGATAACGTTTCCAGCGTGACTCCAGTCTCTTTCACTGCTAGCACTTGTAGCAGGAATCGTAGAAACCTTCTTAAACAAATTGTATAATTTGGGGAATCTATTTGAGTGCTCATGCCACCAATCAATTAAGTTCACTTCAGCTGTTATTGGATAGCTTAGGTAGTCTTCAACTTCTGTGGTTGGGCCGACTTCCACATCAAGACAAATGAATCGATTGCTAGGTTCTGTGAAGTAAAATCAAGTAAAAATTTTAAATGAAAAGTTTAATAATGAAAATTTTTAAAATTCTGCAGGATTAAAGATTTAAGTTAAAAATTACTTGGCCGATTCGTATTTGCCGTACTGCTATTTTGAATAGTTTGATCACTCGTCGATACATTTTGATTTATGTCAATGTGTAAATCAAGATATTCTTCGATTTCGGCATGCAATTTAAATTTATCTCTGTTTGGAATGAAATCGAGTCGTTTGTAGTGTGGCGTTAAAAACGTCATTGCTTTGTGTTCAAATGATGGTGTCATATCGTTTTCATTCCTTAAATAATATTCTCTTCCAATTTTTTTCATCTCGGTTGTACACGAATAATTCATCTCGGTTGGCCCCGTCCAATTCGTTTATGTCATCTTCATCATTTTGTTTGAGTAAATCAGATATTTCCAAAAAACTTGTCCATACTAAGTTTAAAGTAATATATTTGTCGCCTTCAAGATTGTCTGCCATTGTCTAAAATTGGAAATAGAACGACATTTTTATGTAAATCAAAATTTGAAATATATAAAAAATGTTTTAACAAAGCAACCAATATATTTACCAGACAAACACAGCATGAGACAAACACAGGACGAGACAAACACTACAAAAAATTAAGTGACGTTTATCATAAACATAAATGTACCTTGAATGGTTCTAAAAAAATCTTGATTTCGATCAGTTGGTCTTTGTTCAATACTTCAATAAGATCTAAAATTTCATGGTCAGCCTGTTTGCCGTTGTTTATTTTCCATTCATTTCTTAACTTTTGCTTGGTTGTCAAAATTTGGGAATGGACTTTTTTTTAAAATTTAATGACTTGAAAAAATTTTTAGAAGATTTTTTAACATTTCGTTATCAATTTTCTCTTTCTTCATTATTTTTTCGCTCACTTCACTTGTTCACACATTTCAAATCAGGTTTTGGAAATAAACTTGAATAACAGCGTATTATTGTTATTCTGAGTTCCAGATTTGATGCTGCCTGAGTTCAAATATTTTGTTCGGACAATAAAAATTTCCGACAACAACAAAAAAATTTCAGCTCATAACACAGAGTTTGTGCTTGTTTATTTGAAATTTTCGAAAAATACAAAGGAACAGTTTTAATATAACAATTTTTTATCATAAAAGTTTTCATTCAAAAATTTTACTTTAATAATTTATTCAATAAACTGTCTGTGATTCCTGCTACAATTACTGAGCAATTTTCCAAAGATACATTTTTGAAATGAAAAATTCATTTTTGAAAAAAAAAAATTGACAAGAGGACGGACAAAATTTTTGTTCGTCCTTTTGAAAATTGTCCTTTTGACACAATTTGTTCGTCCTTCCTGAAAATTCGTCCGTCCGTCCGTCCTTATTGAGAAAACGGACGAACCAAACTTTTTGTTCGTCCTTCTTCAGAAGAAGAACGAACCATTTTTTTTTGGTCGTTCTCTTTCAGAAAACGGACGAGCCATTTTTTTTTCGTTCGTCCTTCTTTTAACAAGAAACGAACAAAACCGATTTGGTTCGTTCGTTTTCTGAAAGAGAACGACCAAAAAAAAATAGTTCGTTTTTCTCCAGAAGAAGGACGAACCAAATCGGTTTTGTTCGTCCTTCCTGAAACGAAGGACGGACGGACGAACAAATTTTGTCCATTTGACACCTTTATTTTAGTATACACCATGAGCGTGCCCTATCGCGTACAATGAGATTTCCTGCGTACAGCGCCCGAGTATTCAGCAGTGGCAAAAAAGTGAAACGCGCACGTCAGAAATATTTGTGTTCACGAACATCAAATTGTTTATGCATTATGTTGAATTCTTGATTAATAGAATCAAGCTTAACATGTGAATACATCACAAAAATACACCTTTTTTTTCTAAGAACAGAGCAAAACCACACGGTTTGTCCAATGATCAACCTTTCCATCATATACAAGTATATTATATTTGATAAACTACTGTTTAATCCCAAATGAACCATTTGCGGAGATATCCAGTGTACAGCGGAGCTGTGCGGAGTTCGGCGGAGATACCGTATATACGCTATACGTGTGAGCGAAACAGCACTCTTTGCTGTGTTTACATTTCTAATGTTCAATACACATCTAAGTAGCCATGAGCGCACTGCTTTAGATATAGTGTATGTATTGCATCTCTGCCGAACTCCGCACAGCTCCGCTGTGCACTGAATTTCTCCGCAAATGGTTCACATGGGATGATTTTACTAATAAACAATTATAAAAAAAATTCAATGCAACAGAACAGTGACTACTTTCAAGTCGGTTTTGGCTACGAGACTTTAAAGCCACCCACCGTTTGTCTCTACCACTTTTGGAAAATGACCTAATAATATGAACGCGTGAGAATAAAAGACTGACGCTAGCTGGTTTTTCGCAAAAGCGGGATAACAATCAGTTGCACGCAAAAGAGACATTTCAAAAGGTTACACGCAAACGGAACATTTTATTTTGTCGCATTTTGGATTTAAAAGCCGTGATTACAACAACAATATACTTCTCTCTTGCGTGCAACCTTTTGAAATGTCTCTTTTGCGTGCAACTGATTTTTATCCCGCTTTTGCGAAAAACCAGGTAGCGTCAGTCTTTTATTCTCACGCGTTCATATGTGTGTGCATGAAAAAATTGGACTTTCACAATCTCTCTCTCTCTTTCGTGCAAATTAACTTTGAAAAATACGTTTTGAATACTCAGTTCCTGTAAAAAGCTATTAACGAAACAACATTTTCAATTTTATGTCAACGTTTATTTTTACAAACAAGCACTACAAAACGGTTCTTAAATTTCAAATACAATTGATATAAAATCGATAATTTCTTTTCGAAATGACATTTTGACATAAAGCGACGATTCATTAGAAAGTTACTTGAAAATTTCCAGGGATAAATGTGATTTTTTCTTCGATTTGTGTGGGGTTTCCACTGAGTTTTCATTCGGGATTGTTTTGCAAAGAACTCTTGGGACTACGTTGTGGTGGATCGTCAGTTGGCTGGTCTTTGTCGCCACTGGTTGGACGAATCTGTAAACAAGATAGAAAAACCTTATTGAATTCAACCATAGTTGATATTGGTTTTACACTCAGCTACCACAGTTGATCCAGTCCAGGCTCCTTTTGACGTGATTAGAGGCTCTTCTGGTGCCATTTTTGAAGCCAACATCGCTGTGAATGGTCGGTAGGGATTTGGCGATGATTTCAATTCGGACGGAGAACTAAAATCAAAAAACGTCCATTCATGTAAATTCAAAAGTTGAGCGAATTGAAGTGGTCACTGCAATTGAAGTGACTTACTTGGGAAATATGTCGGCCGATTTACCTCTCATATCCTTTCCTATTAAAATTTCGGGAAATTCTTCTTTTGTTATTGTTTCAATGGTATGGTATTCGGTGGTTTCAATCGAATACAAACTAATCGCACCTTCTAGTAAATCTTCGTAACGATGTTGTGTGCACGTTGGATCCCGATGAAGTTTTGCCTTTTCTAAAAATAGATTTTAAAATAAAACAATTTTCAAAAGTTATTCCCATAGATATAGTGCCGTAATACATTTTAAATGTAAGACTTCTGTCATATTGTATTCAATGCCATCTCTAAACCAACTCATTGAATCATTGAATATTTTTGTGCAACTTTTATCAATTGTGTGTGGCTTTACTAGAACATATTCAACTTTACGGCGAGACTAACAGCTTCTCCGTGAAGTATAACTGCACACTAGGCAATACACACTGATATTTTGCAATGGTTACTAGATGCATTTGTCAAAATACTGTGATTTTCCTAATTTCGGTCTATGATGTGTGTACAGAGAAGCTGTAAGTGTCACCGTAGAATTGATTACAATCAAGTTAAACTCGAAATATTCAATGAATCAATGTGCTGGTTTAGAGATGTCATTGTTATGGTTATTCCATGAATGAATCAGAAGAGAAAATGGAAATCAATCCACGCTCACCTTGTTCTTCGAGTCGTTTTTTATGGTATTGCCATGCGATCGGTCCAATAACACCCGGATCAGCGCCATCGCTACGAGTTCTTGACAAATAAATAATTTCATCACTCATTTTCTCATTCGGCGTTTGTTCACATGGAATATGCATCGATTTTGGTGGGCATTTTGCTTTGGCATCAACGATTCGAGGAAGTTTGGATGCTATTGTGGCCGCTTCAGTGGCATCGATTTCATCATATTCATCTAAATGTGTGTTACTTACCGGTTCAAGGACACGATTTAATGCTTCAGGTACATTGCACTTGGGAAAGCTACGAATCGATGCCATGCTTAAAAATGAACCGATGCTCAGATCATCGTTCGTTATATGCACTTCATCGTTGGACAGTTGATGTGAAAATCGATCCTTTCGCTGCGCTCGACTCTCATCGGACGTATTGTTCGACGATTGGTTGTACGATTCTTTGGCATGTCGTTGGTCGTCGTCGGCTTTTTTCGCTTTGTGTCTGTCACTTACAGAATTTACCGCAAATGCATTCATCCCATTTCGCACTTGATTGACAGTGGAACCTATTTTATTTTGCCGTTTGTCATTCAGATGCGATTTACTTTGTACATGCTTCTCGGTTTCGTTGGAGATTTTGGTCGATTTTCCACCATTATCCATTTGTTTCGTTGACATGAATTGATTGTGAAATTTGCTCTTTTTTGCAACCATCGGATTGAATGCTTCTATGTGTTCGTATAAATTTGAATCTTTACCCGTTGACATTTCGAATGTGTCATCGCTAACGGCAGCTGATGCTATTGCCGCTGTCTTGGCATCGTTACGGTGTAATTTTGGCTTGCATTCGTCCAATCGTTCAGTTTGACCGGTCGCTGATGAGCTGCGTGATGAATGTACCTGAACTGTATCATCGAACGCACCAACCCGATTACCATTGCCACCCGTCAAGTACTTTCGCTTGTGTTTGGACTTTTTTTGCGCTCGCTCAATTTGCTTCTTCGTTATAGTTGCATATTCACGATGATTTAATGATGCCACACGCTTTGGCCGCTTCGAATACAAATGATGGCGTCGATGGTTTTTATGCTTTTTTATGTAATAGATGGACGATGTGTCCGATGTGGATGTCGTTGACTGTGTTTGCGAGTGACTGGGCGAAGATGGTTCTGAAGACGGTGGCTCCGGAAAATAAATGGTCGGCGTACCGACTTTTTTATGATGATGCTTTCGCTTCAGAGGTGTCGGTATGATTATGAAACTATGATCACGTTCGCATGTAAACCCGTTGACTGTATCATGTAATGAAGTTATTTGCGTACCAACTTGCTTTTTTTGTCGTACCGTGTTCGAGTGTCGGCTGGGAATTTCATTCGTCATGTTCGTGCGAAATTGATGGCTTTCATCGATGCTCGGCATATGTCCGATTGTGGTATTGGCATTCGATTGGGGCTGCGATTGTGCTACTGAAACGGGCGATACTGCCACAGGCACTGGCGGCAAAAACGATTGTTGCGCTGTTTGTGCTGCCTTCGATACCCTATAGATGCATACGATGAGGTGAATGAATTAATTTGATTTCGATTTTTATTGTTTCCATGCTTTGGTTTCTGTTTTCATATCACATCAATTAATCTCTATCAAAATCATATTTACCCTTTTCTCGTCGTTCGGCGCTGATTTTTTGTGCCCGTTACCAGCATCAATATCATGAGTAGCAAAATAATCAACAGCATCAGAGCGATGATGAAGGCTAAAATATATGGATTTTGGAATATCATCGCTAAAATTGGCTTGTTCGGATTTGTGGTCATCGTCGATGAGGGTATCAGCGGCGTTGCCTGTGGTTCCTTCAAATAAGCTAAAACAACAAATGTGTATATACGTGGTTAGTGAGCCCATCGAAATATAGAGTGTTTGTGCAGGTATGCAAGTGTATGTGTGTGTGAGAGAGTGTGTTTTGGATTTTCGATACAATACGTTCGGCCTTGGTGAATATGGGCTTCTCTAAAATTTTCGAAACTTCCACTTCACTCATCAATTTCATATCATTGGCGGCGATGGTTGCCAAGACTGGAATCCCATTCACAAAAACGGTATAGATAATTTCAGTTTGATTGTCAGCTGCTATGATGAAGGGGTCAGAAGTGGAGCTGTTGCTGCTGCTGCTGCTGCTGTCGTTCAACGTTCATTTATTTTTGAAAATCAAAACATTATCGAACATACTCAAAATGAAAGACCGAAATTATTAAAGCTTACCCTTGTACTGGATTACCCCATTCTTTGTCCGAATTATCCGAATAATCTTTGTCGCCATTACTTATCACAGATATGTTGTGTATTAGTACGCTAATGTGACCAATGATTGCATCGTTTCGATTTTTCTTTGCACCTTTCGACGGTTTGGTTGTCATGTTTGTTCTACCGTTTGCGGACGCTTGTTTTAAACCATTCGATTTGGAATTATTGCTGATATCGCTAATATTCATTGATTGTAATTTCGCATTGGCGGGATGAAGAACAATATGCGTTGATGTGGTGGATACGTGGACGGGTGACGGTGTAATGGAAGACACAGATCGTTTGCGTCGATGATGCTTATCTATATGATTTGAGCTAGTCGTGGCCACCACATTCAATGTGCTCGTTGCATTACCACTTTCGGTTAATAACAAGTTGGTTTCCATTGACATTGTGGCATCAGTTATCGATACATTCGATTGGATATGAAATGCAGATGGTTCGGCGACACCATATTCATATTTCAGAACCGATGTCGGATTAATTGGCATTGACGAATTTGTACTTTGTTTATTTTCTATGATTGGCGTTGTTTCATTGGCAAGTGAAGCGCCGGGCAGTGGTTCGACAGTGCTATCGATGACGGTGGCATTGGATAAGCCCAAATGCAACGATTGTTGTCTGAAAATAAACACGGCAAAACCACAATTGAAAAATAGTTGATACCAAATGTGTGTACACGACGCGGACACACAGGAGTGAAATTTTGCAAAGTAAACAGCGATTTTATCCTTCTTTCTGACAAACCTGGTGAATGCAATGCGATAAATATCGGCGAGTCGCTCCTGTAATAATGGAATATCTTCATCGTTCAAGTGGCCCAGCACCGATGTGACGAGCCAAAAACGTTTATTCACCGGCAAATATTCGTCGGGTATCTCATTTGAATCCGTATCGCAACCATCCGATTTACAATTTGGATCTTTTTCATCTTCACTCTGTAACGAAAAATCAAATATTAGGAGCTCAATTACGAATGATTCGTCCGTCGGTGCGGGCGAAAAGAGACGACACAAAACGATGGTGGGATGAAGCAAAAGAAAAAAAAACAAATCAAATTACCGAATCATCTATGTAAACAGTGGCAATCACCGTCGCTGTTTTGATAAATGTTTCGCGACCAACAAACCCGTTAACCGCCGTCAAGCGCGCATTCGATTTCAGTGATAGCGTTAATGGTTCGTCTCCTGAACCATTCCAAAAAAAATCTTCAAAACGTATGTCATGCTCCGATGAATGCAAACTACTAACCGTGTTTACGTCTGAAATGAAATGAAATAAACGACGATGATCAGAAAATATACACACAGAGAGAGAGAGAGAGGGAGAGAGGAACCAAAAGAGAAGGAAAAACACCACGAATAAATGCGCTTATTATTGATAAATGTGTCAACATTAAAACTTTGTCGTGCAATGTCAAAAATCAGTTGACGCCATATACCAGAAAATCCGATAAGAACATAAATTGAGCACACTTTTGTGAAAAGTTACCACGTAATACAAAACCATAATCATTTTGGCGCAAAAGCCAATGTTTTCGTGTGTGTTTTGTTTTCTCATCCTTCTTCTTCTTTTTGGCTTTTGTGTACTATTGTCTGGTGCTTAATTTACGCAGGTGAGGCCAAAGTTGGAAGCGTTGCATGTTTTGGTAAAAGAGCTTCCACAAAGTCCATAATATTTTGAAGTGTAGTTTTTGTGTTTTGCTAACATTTTCAACACGCTAAATGTGAAACCAAACAAATATCTTGTTCAAACACACTCCAAACAACGAAGCCATTGCATTTCGAGTCGATGTGTTCTTTTTTTTTGCACGCGCTCTTTCTCTACCAGTCGTCACAGTAGCCTATGTATTTTTTCTTTTATTCTGCTCGATTCTACTGTTGAAAAAATTATCGTGGCGACGTTTTTTCGTGAAATTCGTTTAATATTCAATGCATTGCATTGGTATTTATTGCGAATCATGATTTGCGTGTTCAATTGCTCTTTTTCTCTCCTTCGCTTACTGAATGATATTGAAGGAGCCGTTTTTTCGGTACATCGATTTCAATTAATGAAAAAAAAGGGCGCGGAATACACGAACGAGAAACCAACAAACGGAAAATGGCATAAGGCATGTGCAAGATGTCATTAAATCCATATGATTCATAGAAAAGGAGAGAATTCCATTCTCATGAAAATGTGAATATATATATGTGTGTGTGCAATGAAAACGGTTCTTCCAATGGAAATGTTCGCCATCCAAAACCGAAACGTACAACATAATGAAAACGTTTTTATTTCATCATTTATGCTTTATACCAATTTCATTTTTGTATACATGTAAATAAAATGCAATTGAAATGTTCTTTCATGAAAGCACCAACGACGACAACGACGACGATGATGACGACGACGCCGCCGTCGCCAACAATTCAATTCAATACATTTCGCAAATATATCGTACGGTATTACCGTTTGCATTCAATCGCGTTTTATTGAATGGCAAACAAAGTGACGAAAAATCTTTAACCACACTTAACGTTTCAATATTAAATTGACACAAAATTAGATTGATATTATTCATGACGACAAATGAAAAAGAAAAAAACAATTATAACAATAGAAAGAAAATTATAGGACCGCGAAAAAGAAGAACAACGCGGCGCGTAAAATGCGTGTTTGAAATGGTGTTTGCATTGCAGCAGCTCATGTGTGAACGAATGAACAAGTGTCTGTCGCGCCGCTTGGCCACAAACTTTGCATGATTGTAACACACAGCAAAATACAATATATAATCATATGCACAGAATCAAAGCAAAGTTAAGTGAAATATAAATAAAACACACACATGTGACACAAACGAAAAGAGATTCTTTTGTTTGGGCCGCTTGAAAACAGAGAAGGAAAAAAAAACGAAAACGACAACATACATGACAAAAACAGTGAAAATGATTTGTGTTCGGACACGATGAAAAACTAAAGCATCTAAATGATATTTTATTGTGCGGGTTTTTTTTTTGTTCGTACACTGGTTGCTCAGATTTCGTTTCAATTTAAATTGCGCATTTCATGTACGTGTGTTTGTGTATATATTCCAAAGAATTTGGCGGAAATAAAATTTAATAGTGCATAACCGCACAATTCTGGTTTCGGTGTAATGCCTTTTATTTCAAAACAATAAATAGAACACCCACACTCACACACATGGGATCATGTGTCAGAATTTATTTATTCGTAAGCAAATCAGTTCGTATTAAATTGGGTGAGAGGAATATTTTATTATTTTAGCGGTCAACCGAATTCAACAACAGAGACATACACAAAGAGGATAAAAATACAAATCCCTCGAAATTTCTCCACCAATTCCGAATCGATATATTGCATGAAATGTCACTCCTGTTGCAATTAACTAAGAACAAAACAAAATAACAACATAGTATACAACTATTCTGTTAATGAGATTTTTCGTAGAAAAAAAGTTCATCTCAATTTATATGTAAATTATTTAAAAATTTAATCAAACCTAACAGGCAACTGTGCATAGTGGATGCGTTGGCTGTGTGTTCAATTGTGTCGACGGAGGAAAAAAAAATACGATCTGGGAAATGTGTAAAGCGCCAGTTGGTCGACACACAAATTATGTATATGTATGTTGATTGAGCACACCAACGAAGCCCTGTGCATGAGATCGCTGCTACTAGATAGAGACCTGATGATAGTTGAAGCGTAAGCATTTTTCTTTGCACGATACATGTATATATATATATATTCTCGTGGTGGCTCATTTATTGGCTGTGTGTTTGTGTGTGTGTGTGTGTGTGTGTGTGTGAATATAAATTGGTTCGAAATTGAAAATCTAATGTGCGATTGATGAATAAATCGAATTATGGTAAATCTAGCCGATTAACGTGTTAACTAGTAAATTTATAACGTTCATCGGATTTTTAGATCGGCGGCAATGGTGAAATTGATAATAGAAGTAAACAACAACAAAAATGTTACAAATGCATTATTTACCATCCAATGATGGAATATAGATAACGGATGATGGCTTCGGTTGCTTCACTGGTGTGGGCGATAGGACTGGACTAGTTGGTGATGCATCGCTTGCAGCTACATCAATTTTTGACGTTGTCGTTTCCGTTGTACCGCAACAATTGATGAGCAACACACAAATCCATAACAATGTTGAACAATACTGGTGACATCGATAACTAATCGAAGCATCGATGTCAAATAACAAGATGAACATATTGAAACCGACCAATAATTTTTTCCAATCCTTTACAATCAATGTCATTCACATTCATTACACTTGGTTACCGATTTCAAACCGTTTTTTCTACCCACTACTCGTACTACTCGGTAATCATCATGCACATAACATTAATATTCGCAACTGGAGGAGAAAGAGAGAGAGAGAGAGAGAGAGAGAATATGGTACACCGCAGCATATCAAAGCAATCGCATCATATCATCGTAATGCTCATTTCAATGCATTTCATCGACTCGCATTTTTCTCTCACACATTCTCTATCACTCTGTTCGCTTTCGATATTTTATCAATTGTGGTATTGGTTTTGGTGGTGTTGGGGAAGCCAAATGGACATACTGCACTCAAAACTACGTACAAAACCCATTAAACACTGCTATCTATTAGGGAATTTTTTTCTCTTTCTGTCTGTTTGTTTTTATTTTCCGATTTTATATTGCACTGCTGCGCCAATAGCAATTACAACCGAATATATCGAATTCAATTAAGGGTAAAATTATTATGCAGCAAATTAACGATAATTTGTAAACTACAGTGATTCGTTCATCTATTAAGCATTCCACATAATTATGTTGAATTTAGATTTATTCACTTTTAATAAATGCACTGGAAACACATACACACATCCGCTTGGTTTTTTTTTTTTTTTCAATTCGCTCATTAGCTCGTTCTTTGTTTTTTTTCAGGAAAAATCTATTGAATTTATACATAAAACGATGATACGATTACAAAAAGAAACAACAACAAGCAAAACTGAAGAATAAAACAAAATAAATACACTGAAAATTATTGCACTTGTTCGCGTCAACTGCACACTACTGTTTACTTCTTGCAATGTACAATTCGAGTGTGGTGTGTTCCGTAAACCACGCACCCAATTGCAATCGCATCTGTATATGACTGGCAAATTGGAAGGAGCACACACTAAAAACTCTCTGTTTGACCGATTCCGAATAAATTTTGTTGTTGAGTTCATCGGTTGCTATGTTACAATGTTTTGGTCGCGAGGTAACAGCGGTCATACCGAAAGGTCTGCGATTGAATGAATGAATGCTAACTATATAGATCCACAAAACATGGTATTATCGTTTAAATAGCACACGGAAATGCCGCACAAACACACATGCATAATCGTTCTTGCTGCTTTCTGTCTCACTCTCTCTTCCCCACACACACACATACTCTCTCTCTCTCTCTCTCTCTCTCTCTCTTTCTGTCTGTGTTCACAATCGCTTACTTATACGCGCACGTTTGTCGTTCTGCTTTTCATTCGGTCGGTGTTTAGTGTCACCTTTCATTAATATTTCATTCAGTGATCTAATTATTTAACGGGAGAAAAGCGGAACGTTGGTCAAATGCTGTGTGGCCTTTTATTTAACGAAAGTGATTACATTCGTTAGAGATACTTATGGAGATGCATTCAACCGTTTATTCGTTTGAAAGAGCATCATGCCGCCATGCTGTTGCTGCCGTACATGGTTTGCCCATCGTCGTTTCTTTGTCGCTTCTCTCGTTTTCATTCTATATAAACCCCAATCTTCTTTTTCTTCTTTTTCTTCCTGTTCCTTTCCATTTCTTACTCTTTCCCTTTGAGTTGGTAATTGTTTTTGGATTTCAGTTGGAATTGTGTTACGGAAAACCGCTCAGCAGAATGGTTTAATTGCAATAATACGCGTTGAACAAACGGAGAATCACAAAAATAGTCGAATGGTCAAAGCACCTGTTTAAGCCATTGAACGATGGATTGAAAAGTATGCGCCGCTTGGAGAATATACAAAATTGCGGCCACCAGCTCCATCTACACACCGCTTTTTCATCCATTCTGCTAAGCGAAAGCAACTAATATTCGTATCAGTGGCTCGAAGCACTTCCCCTTATCTGTGAAAGCCAATCATCAAGTGCAATGCGCTCCGTTTGTGTGTGGTTGGTTTTTTGTTTTCTCTCCCTTTTCATTTTCAACATTTCTATTCGGCTGTGTGCCATATTCTATGTTGTGCAGCATTCCATCCATAAGCTTCGCTCCGTTTTGCCGTTTCGTGGTTTGCTGTGTGTGCTGGGTATAAATTTTCCAAGTTCGAAATTTGTTCATTCAGTCATAGCCGAGATTTTCGTTAGTGTGCATACCACAGTACATCTTTTGCTCTTTTAGTCGCTTCGTTCTCTCGCGTAACCGTTTCTCGTTCTCGAAGATTTTTTCACGAAACGGTTTAACAATATTACGAAACAAGTGAAATGTGAACTGATTTGGTGAAAAATTACTGCAATTGAAAAATCAAATACATAAAACCGTAAATCGAAATCGTGCAATTGACTTTGAATAAATGATTTGCATTCAAGAGACAAACAACAGCAATAAAAACGACATCAAAAGCATAAAGAATAAACCGAATAGAAAAAAAATCAATGAAGAATTGAATTGCAAAATAAAAAAAAATGAACTTACAAAATTGAAGCGAAAATTATTTCGGTTTCGTGAAATTATAAGCAAATTCGAACTCATCATCGATATCGTTCGTATTTACAAATGCAATTGAAAGCCCATGCATGCGGTTAGAATAGACAATTTTTGAATGCGTATTACAAACTGACATTCTGCGGTCGTTAGAACAGTGTGTTTTTGGATTGTTTATTCCATTCATTGGCTCATTGGGCTCTTACACTCCCATTCTCGCATTCAGAGCGAATTCCTCCACTCTCCTGCTCTATACCTCGTACCACGTGTGGGATTTGTGTTTTTTTTCGAACTCTACGCGTACAACTGCGGAAAAAAATATGAACGATTTAGATGCATAAATCACGCCATATGCAAAAATATTCCCGATAAATTTATCGGCCGACCACAGAATAAGCACAACATCAGTAGTGTTTGGCCATAAAGGACGTGAGAAAAACAAAACTCTAGGCTGAAAAAGTCCAAGTGTGTTTGTATGTATGAGTGCATGGGTGCTTGTTATGTACGTTTGGCTAATTGTGAAAATTGAAGTTAAATCCGTTAAAACTATAAAATTCGATGCTCTGAGGTCATGCATGCCATCAACCTAAAATTATACGGAAATTAGCAGTAAATTTTTTATTCGCTAATTAAAAAATAGCAAACTTTTCGGCAAATGCCGAGATATAATTTGTGTGCGGAAAAAGAAAAAGGAAAAAATGTTGTGTTTTTTTATCGGAAAAATGAGAATGCCATCATCATTAACAACATAAATCAATTTTGAATCCAGAGAATCGAGCGAGTTAGTGTGAGTGAGAAGAGGAGGAATACGAAGAAGAAACATTTTTCGTGGCTGGCAATAATTTTGTAATTGTGGTTATACGACGAGTAAATGGGAATTTTTGACATCGAATACGCATTTAACCATTTTAAACCCGATAATTGCGATTGTGTGTCCGTGTGCGTGTGCTACGAGCGAACTCCAAGTTTAAATTGACGCCAAAATACGGAGAGAAAGCGGAAGATAGAGTGCAAAAAAAGAGGCTTCGGCCATAATGATATCCGTATAATTATCGAACCCTTTAACTAAAGTACATCGCAATTAAAATCGTTTCGCGCTTCTCGCTACGTTGTAATGTTTGATTTGTGGTAAAACATTGTTGTTCGGGGGATGTTGAAGTCTTTCGGATAAACGCCAAAAAAAGAGATAAGAATTTAAAAAAAAACAGTAACAACACAAAGTGATAAAGTGCATAATTAATCACTTCCACACTGTTTGGCCAGTCGCGTTGTGATTTTGCAATCCGAATTATCAATATTATCTAGTGTGTTTTGTGCGCCAAGACAAATAAATATACTCCGCAATCATGGTCAGTCATTAATTTAATTACATTTGTTTTTACTTTTATTTTCGTGTGTGTGTGTGTGTGTGGGTGTTTCTCATGTTGGTTTCATTGTTGTTGTTCGCATTGAAAATGGTGCACGTTTTTATCGTAAATACCCTTCATATTTCTGCTTCGATGTGCCCATATTTCTCGCGTGTATGTATGTATGTGTGTATATTGCTAATTTTTTCCCTCTTTCGTTTTTTTTTTGCTTTCTGTGCTTTCTATCTCTCTCTCTCTCTCTCTCTCTCTTTTCCACCATTTCAAACAATGAAAAATGCTACTCGCGCCTAATGACCTTTACGCTTTTCCGTATCTTTTAATTACGTTATTCGCACGATGCGCTACTGCAGCCTATTGTAACGCTTTCCAAAAATACCTCGTTCGTTTTCATTCAATGATTTGACACTGAAACAAATGGAAAAACGGCAAAACGGAAAGACGACGAAGAAACAACAACAAAAGTCGCCACCACCACCGCCACACCACCTCAAAGCGAAAAAGCGTCGCGTCGCAAACTAATAAATGTAATAATGATATAAAGCGTGAAGCGCAAGGTGTCTGAATTAAGGTTCTTCGCTTTATTAAAGAGTGTATGAACTCATTTGTGACAATTTCGCTATAAACAGAGTCATTAGGGCAAGATAAATGGGGTTCGATCGAACATATACACGCTCACACATCGGATCGATAGAACCGCAATGAAAACCGTGTGTGCCGGTTCGATAGAGTTAAAGTGGCCATGTACGGCCTTTGAAATAAACTCCAGCAAATGCGGCGGCATACAAACAGACAAACACTCTTTCTCTCGACATTAAATCGGGTGGTATGTGTGCTTGAAAGCATTTGCTGTAATTGACATTAATTATTTTAGAGGATTGCGGTAATCAATGGAGACATTTTTATTAACTACCCCTAATGAAATTCAATATAATCCTTTTCGAAGGCGATGCAAACGAATGAGTTATTTCTCTGTATGTACAATTCAAATGGAACAATTTCCACTACTGAACGGCACAACGTCGGTTGCCGGGTTTCACTTTAAACGATTCAACGATGAGACACATTGTTTCAATTCCGTTGGGAAATTCATAGATTTCGAAATTCACTCTTCGGTTCAATATTGTTGTTATTGTTTTTTTTCTGCTTTCATTCGTTTGCCACAAAACATACCGACCAGCCGAAGGGAAAATGAGAAAATCCACGCAAACTACATGTGGGTTCGGTCGGTTCGGACAGCCTGAAAATGAAAGTGAATCATATTCACATCAAAGGCAAAACAGAAAATTCCATTTCAACCGACAACGAGCAATCCCAAACATCATAAAATTCGTTGTGTATAAATCATCTCGTTTTAAGTGCACATTTTATAGTTTTCCCAGTTATTTTTCGATTTACTATGAAATGAAAAAGTTATGGTTTTGTTTAATTTGCACTGTCTCACAAAAGCTCGTTATAGAAAGTTGCAATTCGTTTCTTTTCTTTTTTTTATAAATGTAATATCAATGGTTTGGAGCGAAAATGTAATACAAAAAAGTTAAGCGGAAAAATTTCGATGATGAATGAGCGGAAAAGGGAAGTAAACTGTATAGTAAACTATATATAGCTATCCCTTTTCATTTGACATTTTTCCGCTTAACTTTTCTGTATTACATTTTCGCTCCAAATCATTCATATAATAATCGAATGAATGATACTGATAAAATAACATCTGGATGCGGAGTTATTCTTTCGCCATAACATTTATAACACAAGCTATATGTATCTAATTGTTTATACCGTTTTTCATGTCCTTTTCCCGTTCTCTTTCTCTCTCTCCCTCTCTTTTTCTATCTCGTTATCACTTGTGTCGGGTTGATCATGGTGTTTGTTGCTGCAAATTAATAACGCGATGGCCTGGAAATATTGAAAATTCGTGACAATGTCGACAAAATAATGAAATGCGTGCACGTAAACAAATGAAAATGAAAAAAAAAACCATCATCGAACACATCATCATCAACGGAATGAATGAATGAATGATAATCGATACCAACGAAACTGCGGAACAACACACCACCGCTTCAAATGCATAAAATGCCGTTTGCTATTTATGCTCCACCCCAACTCCACCATCACAACAATAACTATAACAACAAACAATAATGCGGATAATAATAATAACCAGTATGGATTCGTGAACTATGCTCTGGAGCTA